GGGGTTACCAAACCTAAAATGACCTTTTAAAATGTTTGTTCATGAACATGAAGGGCATTGTAGCGCGGTGGTTACGGAAAATCATGGGGAAAAGAGAGACCAGTCATATACGGGAGTAAATCGTTAGACTCGGTGGCAAGATAAATGTTGCTGTGTCTAAGGGTAGTACAGTTGTGGTCAATAGTTTTGAGATTGACACAAATACTAATTTTCACAAAGTCTGCTACCTCAGTTTTGATGACGGTAATTTGCATATACTCCAGAATGTCATGAAGAGTGATCAGATGAATTGCAATTAATTGCAAAGTCCCTCTTTGCCATGAAAATGAACTTAATCCCCCCAAAAAATGTCCACTGCATTTCAGCCCTGCCACAAAAGGACCAGCTGCCATCATGTCAGTGATTCTCTCATTAACACAGGTGAGAGTGTTGATGAGGACAAGGCTGGAGATCACTCTGTCATGCTGATTGAGATAGAATAACAGACTGGAAGCTTTAAAAGGAGGGTGGTGCTTGAAATCATTGTTCTTCCTCTGTTAACCATGGTTACCTGTAAGGAAACACGTACCGTCATCATTGCTTTGCACAAAAAGGGCTTCACAGGCAAGGATATTGCTGCTAGTAAGATTGCACCTAAATCAACCATTTATCGGATCATCAAGAACTTCAAGGAGAGAGGTTCAATTGTTGTGAAGAAGGCATCAGGGCGCCAAGAAAGTCCAGCAAGCGCCAGGACCGTCTCCTAAAGTTGATTCAGCTGCGGGATCGGGGCACCACCAGTGCAGAGCTTGCTCAGGAATGGCAGCAGGCAGGTGTTAGTGCATCTGTATGCACAGTGAAGCGAAGACTTTTGGAGGATGGCCTGGTGTCAAGAAGGGCAGCAAAGAAGCCACTTCTCTCCAGGAAAAACATCAGGGACAGACTGATATTCTGCAAAAGGTACAGGGATTGGACTGCTGAGGACTGGGGTAAAGTCATTTTCTCTGATGAATCCCCTTTCCGATTGTTTGGGGCATCCGGAAAACACCTTGTCCGGAGAAGACAAGGTGAGCGCTACCATCAGTCCTGTGTCATGCCAACAGTAAAGCATCCTGAGACCATTCATGTGTGGGGTTGCTTCTCAGCCAAGGAAGTGGGCTCACTCACAATTTTGCCTAAGAACACAGCCATGACCAACCAACACATCCTCCGAGAGCAACTTCTCCCAACCATCCAAGAACAGTTTGGTGATGACCAATGCCTTTTCCAGCATGATGGAGCACCTTGCCGTAAGGCAAAAGTGATAACTAAGTGGCTGGGGGAACAAAACATCGAAATGTTGGGTCTAAGGCCAGGAAACTCCCCAGACCTTAATCCCATTGAGAACTTGTGGTCAATCCTCAAGAGGCGGGTGGACAAACAAAAACCCACAAATTCTGACAAACTCCAAGCCTTGATTATGCAAGAATGGGCTGCCATCAGTCAGGATGTGGCCCAGAAGTTAATTGACAGCATGCCAGGGCGGATTGCAGAGGTCTTGAAAAAGGGTGGCTATTTGAAGCATCTCAAATATAAAATATATTTTGATTTGTTTAACACTTTTTTGGTTACTACATGATTCCATATGTGTTATGTCATAGTTTTGATGTCTTCACTATTATTCTACAATTTAGTTGTTCTAATGAGTCCTCCCCAACAAACTAGTGTATAACTAACCCAAGATAGTTTATCTGTGTCGTTTACAGTGGGAAAAAATGAAGCATAGTGGGCAGAACAAGCAAGGAGGAGGGCAAAAGCCAAGCACGAGCTAGCCAGATCCTATTGACGCGTTGTAGCATGTATTTTAATATTTCCGTTAGGGAACACCTCCTCTGTGAAGTGTGGTGTGCACAAACGCAATTCGACCTGGCACTCCTTCTAAATAATGCAATTTTTTACAACTTTGACAAAGCGTCAAGTCTATAAAACTTTGTGCACTGTGTCCGTAACAGATTATAGTTTTGGGAATGGAAAAATTTATTGAGATCAGATGTTTCATTGATGAGAAAATTAGCAGAATGACGACCCAGTTTCACGTAGTTCCATCCTCTCCCACTACCCGCGACTGGACTTCCTCTCACTACCATATCTGGTGGTGAAAAAACGTTCTAAACGGATGCTTCAGCTTTATTAGCCCCTGTGACATGTCTAGGTTACTCCTTCTGTCTGTGTCTCACTCTCTGTCATGTTCAGCCAAGTACACGTGATGGGAAGTTCGGCTCTTTTTACTGACTCAAAACTTTTTGACTCATTAAATTGAAAGAACAAATCTTTCGAATTATTTTGATAATTTGAGTTAGTAATACCCAGAGCAAGCAGGACCCCCTACCTGCGAATGATAAACTAAAAACTTTAAAGAGTCATGATTCTATGAGCCTCTTGTTTCTGGGGTAGGATCAGATAGGGTTAAAGTAGTGGAATAAGGTGATGGGTTTTAATGAGTATAGGGTTATTAAAACATTTCTGTTTTTTCCGATCACAAGTATCATCAGATCCGACTATTAACTGTCCATTTATTATATTGTAACGACCTGGTATTGTGTTCTGTGTTCGTGGGTGTGTTATTGTTCTCATGGGTGCTAGCAGGGGTTAAATATGCCAGGACAGAGGGAAAGGTTGGGGGGGGGGGGTATGATGGGTAATTCTGCTGGGTTTTGAAATGCATAAATACGGGTTACTGTCTCATCTTGCTCTCTTCTGTTCGGGACCCTGATCTGCTCCTATGAGGGTGACCCTTAACTTGACATGGTATATTTGTGTACATTCGGAATTTAGTGGCGTGGGCTGTGGCCTGAACAATAGCCCAGTTTAGGAATAAACCTGTGTTCTGCCCTGCACACCTGGTGTCCGTTTTCTTTTCCATTATGACCCAGCCGGGTCATTACAATATATATTATTATAATTTTTTCTCCCGGTTCCCCTTTCCCATTTTGTATCACAAAGTGTAATTGATCTATACTATAGTTCTGTTGGGGGCGGTAATGCAACATATTGGATGCCAGCCGCCGTTAACCCTCACCGATGAAGAGCCTCTCATTCACATAGGGGGCTTGTTGGAGCTGTCATTTGTGACTGAGACTTGTAAACGTGATTATTAGGCATACAAATAAGATTACGTATTGATACATTTGAAACGAGGTCTAGCTGTGGCCGCAACCGGACTAGATTGTGAACGACTCTTGGCGGAATGCATTGCTTGACTGCCCTGAGGGGTGATAAGTAGGGGTGTGCTGAATCCGACATCGCCAAAGGCCTACTCCTATTCGGAAATTGACAGTTGAAAGTTGGATCGGGTGATACTCGTGATCGAAAAAAACGGACATGTTTTAATATACCTATGTAGATGTTGGCAAAATACGGAGGGTGTGTGTTTGTGTGTCTGACCTGTGTCTGTGTGTCCTCAACTTGCAGCGGGCAGACAAGTTTGCTATCAGTCAGAGTGTGCATCGGCGTTCCATTTTTGTTTGTACCCTCGCCCCGCTTGTTAGATATTATACACGTTGATAGCGAACGTCCTTGCCATTTGATTGATCATAGTAGCAGCCTAACAGGATGCAGCAGCAGTCTGAATGGTCAGACCGAAAGTGATCGGGAGAAATTATGAAGCGAGTAGACAGAGAAATACAGCTTCATTCTATCCAATCAGAGCAGCAGAATCAACGTACAGCCCACCCTTCTGTTTACAGACGAGAAAAATAGCCAGTTGAATTATTTAGACCACGAAGCACCTCACTTGACTGACCTGAGAAAGATGCGTGCGTGCATTATTTACCGTTAATTACAAAACATATTCGGATCATAATCGTATCCATAAAATTGTCCATATCCGTAACGATACTTATTTTGTCGGCACACCTCTTGTGATAAGCACAGTCGTTCGCGAACTGCAGCCCCGCCAAACGATTCGTTATCGAGTTCGAGTTTGTTGAGCAGAGGCTGTGTATGTTTTGGTACTACAAAGCTGTGCCCATCAAAACATTCAATAATCAATGAATTGCAGTCATTCTTGCACCATGCAATCAATTATCAATCAATTATTATGTATTTTTCTTCTTTAAGCTCATTATCTATTTTCCTGCGCGCATATGACAGAGCCGCTGAGCTGGAGGAGCGTGTATTAATCCTGCTGTAGGACTCATTGCGGTCAGCACTACAGGTCAACCGATCGAGTCACTCAGAAAAACGAATCATGACTATCGAGTCAGTAAAGAGTCGTTCAAAAATAACGAATCGTTCGCGAACTGCACATTACTAGTAGGCCTACATAAACACAGGCAGAGGGGCGGGTGCTGCATATGTCCCATTTAGGAAAATAGAGTGTCCCTACTGTCGTTAAAACGTGTTCTACATAAATTACACAATGATTCTAAAGTAACAGACATGATCACGCACCAGCAGCAGAACATTCCGTTTCGAGGACGTGCAGGCACGCATTCGCACTGGAGCTTTTGCATTAACATGGCGTTTGTAGGTGCTGCTTGCACAGAGGAGATAAACAGGGAGGGGAAGGTGGAAGGGACGGCACGATTATTATAACGATTGTACGATGAGGTGACTCTCTCCCACCCTCCCCCAACAAGACAACAAAACGGGAACATGGGACCGGGGTCCTTTATTTTCAGCTAACCATACTGTAATTTTAGGTAATATATATATATTTTTTGTATGTATGTATGTGAAGTAATTACAACGTTATACTATGTAGAATAGAATGACCATAATCAATATCTTTAGAGGTAAATACGAGTAATGCATCTTCTTGCACCAGTACATGGATCCCCTCTCTGCATGATCATCTGTTTAGCAGAACAGAAGTTAGTAGTAGACGGATGAGAAAACCGTCTCTCTCGACCTCGTAACACACAGTATTTATGGAGGGCAGGGAGTGGCCACTGTTGTCAGGCTCAACCAATACGATCGTAGTGGTGGACCGAAGGCGTTTCACTGTTCAGAAGAGAACTTCTCTAACAGCGCGAGTCCAGCAGTACTTAGGAAAGACCGAGTGAAGAAGCGACAAGGGGTGGCTGTATGACCCTCTTTTGGGGGATCTGATTATAACAAAGATATATACACACATATATGCAAGCCCCGGCCGCAAGATGGGTCATATGACGATAATAGGTATTTGAAAAGCATATACCTATATATCTATACATTTAAGATGCCTATTTTACTTTTCCTGATAGACACGTCCGCTTCTATGAATCAGCGCACTTATTTGGGTACGACGTATCTGGACATTGCTAAAGGCGCTGTTGAGATCTTTATGAAGGTAAATAATTTCACACCGACTTTTTTCATCTTACTATTTGCCTTGATGAAGTTGAGGGTCCCTTTGACATATTCAGTCTAAATTAACATGTATTGTTTCATTTTTTTTAAACAGCTGCGTGCCCGAGACCCGGCTAGTAGAGGCGACAGGTACATGCTAGTTACATTCGATGATCCACCATACGGCGTTAAGGTAAATACTGTTACATTGTTTTTATATGTGATTAAGGCGCGGATATTTTGCAGACAGTGAGACGTTACTGTCCCTCTGGTTTGTAGCTGCGGGTTGGGCGGCATCCCAGTGACGAAAACGGCACATTTTTGTAAAAATACCGCAGACCGGAGCTATGTTACCTCTGAACATGGCGGACATGGTGTTTTTGTGTTGGAATTGGAAAAGCTCTATGGTGTTGAGAAGGAGGCGGAGAGATAGATGTATTATCTATTGTGAGGTCGTTTGTGGGCTAACTCAGCCGGGATTGGTCAACTGGCCTGCACCTCTTGTCGAGCCCTCCCCTTGCATCCGTTCTATGGCTGAACTCTATACAGCACCCCCATTGGCCAATATGGACTGGGCAACTCAAACTTATTTGATTTGATAAACCCCCCTTTATTATAGAAAATTATAATGTTCACGTGACACTCAGTATTTTCATCTAAATCGGAGTTTAGACCATAAGGTGCCCATTCTGTAGTTCACACAATCATAACTTAAATTTTTTTAAAAAAAATTTAGTCATTTAGCAGACGCTCTTATCCAGAGCGACTTACAGTTAGTGCATACATAATTTTTGTAGGTGCATATGTAGGGGCATGGATTATTATTATTATTATTATTTTTATTTTTTATTTTTTTTTTATAACTTCATAATGATCGAATGCCCTTATAAAGTGCCAACATCATAACCTTCTACAGTATGATTACATAATAATTTCCCAATGCCTCCACCCTCAGCCTTGCACTCATATTATAAACAGTGCCCTTTATCAAAAGGAATATAACATCCTAGCCCACACCAATAATTAAGCAACAGGGAGAGGCAGCAGGTTATAATTTTAACACTGTGCACACATAATAATGTAATAATGTGGCATAGGGTTCGCCAGTGAAGTTAAATGAAAGCACATAAGACTCATGCCTTAAGGCATTTGTCATTTAGAGTAGAGTTTTCTCTTTCAAACAATGACAAGGGGCAGGTGGAATGTAATACCATTTGATACATATCCAACTCTGCCTCAAAGCACAAAAATATAGTGGAATATGATCTTCATTTTAGAGTATGTGAGAGGCACCTAACCCCAAAGCTCTCAAACATGTAAAGAATCTTTCAACGACAAGTTATCTCAATTAACAAAACAAATAGGTGTGCCTATTTTGATTTACCCATATGAATCTGGCAGTCACTGCATGAGCTAGCTTTATCATCTGGATGCCAATGAAACATTACATCAGACTTAGGAACATGAGTAAGCTGTTGGGGCTAATTTGCTGTGATGTATCTGACAGCCATGTATTCATCCTTTATTAATGCACTGTCACATGTCTATACATGCACCCGTGTTGGGGATGGGCACATACTTAGTATAAGTAGCCATATGTCAAATGAGTAGTGCTGTAGTGCATTGCATGTGGCATGTGGCAGTCATGTTTTGAATGTTGGTATAGTATAATGAATGTGTGAAGGTCAACTGCATGCAACTGCATTGTTGCTTCTTCTATGGCTTCTTTCATGTGCAGTGTTGCAGAGGTTCAGAAGGTGTGGCTGCATCAGACAGCTTCATCATGTGTATATGTGCTGCTGCTGTATTTATGTGGTTTGACTTTGACAGTGACAGTACTGTGGAGTGGCTTATTCCCTGGCATTTCATTAGCTTTGTCTCTCTGGCAGGTGGCCAGACATCCTCCCATGGGCTTTCCTACACCCCCGTCCCTCCAAAACATGCACACATCCTAGTCTTCTTTCATTCTTTCCCTCCAAATAAATGTTGTGGTTCATTAGCTATTCCATTTTAACGCCATTGGTGTCAGAGTTTGTTCAGTTTTTGTTTCTGTATTAAATTATAGGCCCAGAAAGGCCTATAAAGCTCCTTCAGAATTTTCTTTGAGGGCATTGTTCCTGATTTGTTACGTATTAAGGGGTTATTGTCAAGGGACTTTTGATGAAACTATTCAAAAGCACAAGTGCTAATGGTTCTGGAATATACATAACTAGCTAACTGCATGGCTACTGAAATGTCCATTGTCTGGCTTAGGCACCTGGGAGAGAAAGCTCCTCCCTGTATTAGGTGTTGATGAGCAGAGTTCGCACAATAATAACCCAGCCTGTAATGTCTCGCCTGCCCTGCCCGGTGAGAAATGGAATCTGACTACTGAATGTGTGCACTTCTTCCACTGAGCAGCATAGCTTTTTATCTCTGTTTTCATTATTCATGAGCTGATCCATGGATACGCTGCTGGATAAAGACAGCGCTGTCTTTTCCTCCTCACTAGTCTGAGCTCACTTGCCCTGTTCCTGGACCATCGGGAGGAACGTCATTCTTCTCTTCCTCCTCCTGGGGCAGGGCAGATTTTTTTTCTCCATGTGTATTTAAAAAAAATCTTTCACACTCCTTTCCTCTCTGGCAAGACATTGTATTAGGCAGATGTTGTGTACTGTGTGTGTGCTATATTTGCTGGAGCAGTTCATCCACTTATGAGTCAACTAGTACACAAAAGGCCACAGGGAAGGTTGTGCTAAGTTGTTTTGAGTGTGTGGTGGGGTTGAGTTTTACAAATGTTCAACATTGTGTTCTAATCATTCAGGCATGTGTTTACTGCCCAAGCTTGGCCAGCCCTGCTCTGCCTGACTGCCTATATCCTTCTAGGAATCTTGTTCAGGGCTATCATTCACATGCCTGACAGGTAGATCCAGCTGCTTTATACAATGAATAGCCTAGTAATACAACTGTATACTTGCATATAAGGAACATTTCTGCCCTCTCATTCTTATGGGATTCTGGTTTAGGGCTACACATCCCAATAGGAATTCCTTTCCCCTGTCTATTAAGGACTTGAATCCTCTGGGTGTCTGTCGTGTCCCACTGGGTCTGTACTGTTGTCTGTACTAGTGTCTGTGAAGCTGTGGGAATTCTGGGAACCCCTCAAACATTAATGTCACAGATTGAGGGAGAGTCCAGCTGCACAACCTGCTCCGCTTCACTGTCTGTGAGTCTGTGACCCCCTTCCCTTCCTTGTGATCACAGCTCTTTGGGCCTGTTAAGCAGCCTAGCTTTCACTGCAGTGACAGCTCTGCTCACAGTGCTCTCATCTCCTGCTCTCATGACCAGTTTAGCACCACCCTTCTGAGTCTGACACACACAATGACATGATGTTTTATTTTTACATTCTACTGAATGGGTGTTGGTGCTTTCTGGTGTGCCTGACTTGTCTGTTCAAGTTCCATGAGCCAAGGCCTCATTACATGCCTTCAACCTGGCACATTTTGGTTCTGCTCCTAAACTAAAGGATCCCGGGAACTTTATTCATAGGAGTCTGCTTCCTCATAACTGGGGCTTTTGCGAGGAACAAGTTGTTATCTGTCTGTTTATGGAAAGCAGCCTCCTGTACTGCAGTCAGTGTGTGCAGGAACCCAGCATGATTTAGCCTAGTAATATAATAATAATATGCCATTTAGCAGACGCTTTTATCCAAAGCGACTTACAGTCATGCGTGCATACATTTCTGTGTATGGGTGGTCCCGGGGATCGATCCCACTACCTTGGCGTTACAAGCGCCGTGCTCTACCAGCTGAGCTACAGAGTACCCTGGCTCATAGACTGATTTATTGGGGATGGGGGTGCCTATATACAGGCACAATGACATATACAGTAGATATATTTTTGATTATATATAATGATGACGTAATCACTTTTTTCATTGTGAGTCTTTTTCTTGGCACTCTAACCCGGTGTCTGGGTTGCCGAGAGACAGACACATTTGAAAACGATGATGTCAGTGCTACAACCAGGATGTAGGCTAGCTCTGTGGCTTTGTGTCCTGTTTTATCCTATGTTTCCTAGATGCCTATGTTTGTAGCCTATGTGTCACCACATGGCATGAAGCACAACCCAATGCAATAAATAGCCTACCACAACACTGTCGACAATTCAGCCACAATATCCTAATCCTTCCCCATACTTTACAACATGAGAGTAGTGGGGCACATTTCTTCTAATGCATACATCCTTGATCCTCTTTCACTCTTTTTCATGTCTCCCTCCCTCTGCACCAACTGTGACCCAGACAATGTTGTGATAAAAGGAGAGACTCTGATTGCACACTTATACACAGCCTGCAATTAATTGTTGATGTGGAGAGAAAGAAAGAAGGTTGGGTGAATGACTCTGTCACCTGAATTATTGAGCCTGCCAGTAGAGGTTTTGTCTTCAGTGAACGTAACAAGACAAGATGGTTAGCTCGAAATCCCACTCGCTTAGATACTCAGAGGATGTAGGCGTGTGTGTGTGACTGTGTGTGTGGGTGCGTGCATGTGTGTGTACGTACAGGAGTGTTTCAGTGTGTGTTACTCCTTTGTTTGTCGGTGGGTTGGGCTCATCAGCCCAGTGAAGTAACGCAACATGCTACTTCACATTTAAAATTGATTAAATATCGTTTTATGCTATTTTTCACTACTTTAACGTTTTACAAAATCAAATCACATAGTTTATTCTCACTTCAAAGATATGCATCCTCTATTACAAATCTCTCTCTGTGTATAATTACATTGGAGTAAACAAAACTCCAAACATTCTAGAGGTCATGCCTTGTATCCAAGGACTACACATACTTAGAAGCTTAGCCTACTCTTTCCCATTGTATTTCCTGCTCTGTGTCCATGTCACCTCTCTCTCTCTCTCTCTCTCTCTCTCTTCTCTCTCTCTCCCTCTCTCTCTGCTCTCTCTCTCTCTCTCTCTCTCATCTCCTCTCTCTCTCTCTTTCTCCTTCCTCTCTCTCTCTCTCTCATCTCATCTCTCTCTGGTTATTATCCTCTCCTATCTCTCTATCTACTCTCTCTCTACCTCTCTCCTTCTCTCTCTCTCTCTCTCTCTCTCTCTCTCTCTTCTCTCTCTCTCTTTCTCTTGCGCTCTCTATTTAGGAAGCATGGTAGTGCTTATTGTGGGGCTAGTAAGCCTGCAGGTCATCCGTAGATTAAGCATAATGCTGTAACAGTAAGGTACTTGACCTCAGTGGAGGAAAGAGAGAGCAGCGACTCACTCCCACTCACCCACTAGGCTGCTCTCCCACGGGAAAGCCCTGGTCTCATGTGATGAGCAGCTTCAGGATGTGCTTCAGCAAGAGCCAATAGTAACCATTACTTTGTGTTTAGTTTTTTTTGATATTGTTGTCCACATCACAAATAAGCCTACAATTTTCATGGTTTAATCGTGTTATTTAATATAGAGGCTCATTTAGGATTAACACCTGACATTGTGATAATACATACAGTGGGGAGAACAAGTATTTGATACACTGCCGATTTTGCAGGTTTTCCTACTTACAAAGCATGTAGAGGTCTGTAATTTTTTATCATAGGTACACTTCAACTGTGAGAGACGGAATCTAAAACAAAAATCCAGAAAATCACATTGTATGATTTTTAAGTAATTCATTTGCATTTTCTTTAGCCTATATGAGTATGGGGGTTTTACTGTATCTTGTAACCCATCACTAATATGCTTAATATGAGTGAGTGTGGTTGTTTGTGCGTGCAAAAATGCCTCTATGCTCCGGGGTCAATGTAATTTAATACTGTGTGTGTGAGTGTGAGTGTATGCAAGGGAGCGTGTGTTGTGTCCACTTTCATGACTGGACTGTTTATGCAGGTTGATCATGCAGTGTGATGATGACGCAAGCCTCCTTCTGCCTGTCTGAGTATTTATTGCATTCCCTTCATGTGGTGTGTGTGGCACACTATCCTTGTGTGTATTTCAGGCGGGCTGGAAGGAGAACCATTGTACATTTATGAGTGAACTGAAGAACCTGCAGGCATCTGGACTGACCACTCTCGGTTACGCCCTCCGTGCGGCCTTTGACCTCCTCAATCTGAACCGCCTCGTCTCCGGCATCGACAACTATGGACAGGTATGCCTGACACACACACCTCTACAGACCATTTAGGCCTACACCTGTGGTGAAGTTTTCTTCTGATATTTGTTATGATTCTTTATAACAAATCATAATGAATATCAGGCACTAGTTAACTTTCAAACATATTATTATGCACAAGTATTCTGTAAAATAGCATGCAATACAGTGCATATAGATTTGAGGAATATTAATTCAGTTTGTATATACACTGCTCAAAAAAATAAAGGGAACACTAAAATAACACATCCTAGATCTGAATGAATGAAATAATCTTATTAAATACTTTTTTTCTTTACATAGTTGAATGTGCTGACAACAAAATCACACAAAAATTATCAATGGAAATCAAATCTGGATTTGGAGTCACCCTCAAAATTAAAGTGGAAAACCACACTACAGGCTGATCCAACTTTGATGTATTGTCCTTAAAACAAGTCAAAATGAGGCTCAGTAGTGTGTGTGGCCTCCACGTGCTTGTATGACCTCCCTACAACGCCTGGACATGCTCCTGATGAGGTGGCGGATGGTCTCCTGAGGGATCTCCTCCCAGACCTGGAATAAAGCATCCGCCAACTCCTGGACAGTCTGTGGTGCAACGTGGCGTTGGTGGATGGAGCGAGACATGATGTCCCAGATGTGCTCAATTGGATTCAGGTCTGGGGAATGGGCGGTCCTTAGCATCAATGCCTTCCTCTTGCAGGAACTGCTGACACACTCCAGCCACATGAGGTCTAGCATTGTCTTGCATTAGGAGGAACCCAGGGCCAACCGCACCAGCATATGGTCTCACAAGGGGTCTGAGGATCTCATCTCGGTACCTAATGGCAGTCAGGCTACCTCTGGCGAGCACATGGAGGGCTGTGCGGCCCCCCAGAGAAATGCCACCCCACACCATGACTGACCCACCGCCAAACCGGTCATGCTGGAGGATGTTGCAGGCAGCAGAACGTTCTCCACGGCGTCTCCAGACTCTGTCACGTCTGTCACATGTGCTCAGTGTGAACCTGCTTTCATCTGTGAAGAGCACAGGGCGCCAGTGGCGAATTTGACAATCTTGGTGTTTTCTGGCAAATGCCAAACGTCCTGCACGGTGTTGGGCTGTAAGCACAACCCCCACCTGTGGACGTCGGGCCCTCATACCACCCTCATGGAGTGACAAACAGCGCCGGAGAAGATGGCTGCCGTTTTACAGCCCTCTAACCAATTGTACTATTATGTGTGTTTTTCCGCGTTATTTGTAATTTATTTTGTACATAATGTTTCTGCCATCGTCTCTTATAACCAAAGAGAGCTTCTGGATATCAGGACAGCGATTACTCACCTCGCATTGGACGAAGATTTTTTCTTCAACGAGGCGTTCGCGAAGGATATCCTACAGACACCCGACAAGGCCCAGATCCCCGTCATTCGCGTGATGAAGAGACGGAGATATCGCGGACGCAGATCCGGGTGCCTTGTAAGGATCCGACGGCGAGCGAGTAAACTGCCTCTCCCATCAATCCTATTAGCCAACGTTCAATCTTTTGAGAATAAAATTGACGATTTAAGATTACGGTTATCCTACCAACGGGACATTAAAAACTGTAATATCTTATGTTTCACGGAGTCGTGGCTGAACGACAACAATGATAACATTCAGCTAGCAGGCTATACGCTACATCGACAGGACAGAACGGCAGACTCTGGTAAGACAAGGGGTGGCGGTCTCTGTATATTTGTAAACAACAGCTGGTGCACAAAATCAAATACTAAGGAAGTCTCGAGGTTTTGCTCGCCTGAGGTAGAGTATCTTATGATAAGCTGTAGACCACACTATTTACCAAGAGAGTTTTCATCTATATTTTTCATAGCTGTCTATTTACCACCACAAACCAATGCTGGCATTAAGATTGCACTGAATGAGTTGTACAAGGCCATTAATCAACAGGAAAACGCTCATCCAGATGCAGCGCTCCTAGTAGCCGGGGACTTTAATGCAGGGAAACTTAAATCCGTTCTACCTAATTTCTACCAGCATGTTAAATGTGCAACCAGAGGGAAAAAAAACTCTAGACCACCTTTACTCCACACACAGAGACGCATACAAAGCTCTCCCTCGCCCTCCATTTGGCAAATCTGACCATAACTCTATCCTCCTGATTCCTGCTTATAAGCAAAAACTGAAGCAGGAAGCACCAGTGATTCGGTTAATAAAAAAGTGGTCAGATGACGCAGATGCTAAGCTACAGGACTGTTTTGCTAGCACAGACTGGAACATGTTCCGGGATTCTTCAGACAGCATTGAGGAGTACACCACATCAGTCACTGGCTTCATCAATAAGTGCATCGATGATGTCGTCCCCACAGTGACCGTACGTACATACCCCAACCAGAAGCCATGGATTACAGGAAACATCCGCACTGAGCTAAAGGGTAGAGCTGCCGCTTTCAAGGAATGGGACTCTAACCCGGACGCTTATAAGAAATCCCGCTATGACCTCCGACGAACCATCAAACAGGCAAAGAGTCAATACAGGTCTAAGATTGAATCATACTACACTGGCTCTGACGCTCGTCGGATGTGGCAGGGCTTGAAAACTATTACAGACTACAAAGGGAAGCACAGCCGCGAGCTGCCCAGTGACACAAGCCTACCAGACGAGCTAAACCACTTCTATGCTCGCTTCGAGGCAAGCAACACTGAAGCATGCATGAGAGCACCAGCTGTTCCGGACGACTATGTGATCACGCTCTCCGTAGCCGATGTGAGTAAGACTTTTAAGCAGGTCAACATTCACAAGGCCGCAGGGCCAGACGGATTACCAGGACGTGTACTCCGAGCATGTGCTGACCAACTGGCAAGTGTCTTCACTGACATTTTCAACATGTCCCTGACTGAGTCTGTAATACCAACATGTTTCAAGCAGACCACCATAGTCCCCGTGCCCAAGAACTCTAAGATAACCTGCCTAAATGACTACCGACCCGTAGCACTGACGTCTGTAGCCATGAAGTGCTTTGAAAGACTGGTCATGGCTCACATCAACAGCATAATCCCAGAAACCCTAGACCCACTCCAATTTGCATACCGCCCCAACAGATCCACAGATGATGCAATCTCTATCGCACTCCACACTGCCCTCTCCCACCTGGACAAGAGGAACACCTACGTGAGAATGCTATTCATTGACTACAGCTCAGCATTCAACACCATAGTGCCCTCTAAGCTCATCACTAAGCTAAGGATCCTGGGACTAAACACCTCCCTCTGCAACTGGATCCTGGACTTCCTGACGGGCCGCCCCCAGGTGGTAAGGGTAGGTAACAACACATCTGCCACACTGATCCTCAACACGGGGGCCCCTCAGGGGTGCGTGCTCAGTCCCCTCCTGTACTCTCTGTTCACCCATGACTGCATGGCCAGGCACGACTCCAACACCATCATTAAGTTTGCCGACGACACAACAGTGGTAGGCCTGATCACCGACAACGATGAGACAGCCTATAGGGAGGAGGTCAGAGATCTGGCCGTGTGGTGCCAGGACAACAACCTCTCCCTCAACGTGACCAAGACAAAGGAGATGATTGTGGACTACAGGAAAAAAAAGAGGACTGAGCACGCCCCCATTCTCATCGACGGGGCTGTAGTGGAACAGGTTGAGAGCTTCAAGTTCCTTGGTGTCCACATCACCAACGAACTATCATGGTCCAAACACACCAAGACAGTCGTGAAGAGGGCACGACAAAGCCTATTCCCCCTCAGGAGACTAAAAAGATTTGGCATGGGTCCTCAGATCCTCAAAAAATTCTACAGCTGCACCATCGAGAGCATCCTGACTGGTTGCATCACCGCCTGGTATGGCAACTGCTTGGCCTCTGACCGCAAGGCACTACAGAGGGTAGTGCGTACGGCCCAGTACATCACTGGGGCAAAGCTCCCTGCCATCCAGGACCTCTATACCAGGCGGTGTCAGAGGAAGGCCCTCAAAATTGTCAAAGACTCCAGCCACCCTAGTCATAGACTGTTCTCTCTGCTACCGCACGGCAAGCGGTACCGGAGTGCCAAGTCTAGGTCCAAAAGACTTCTCAACAGCTTCTACCCCCAAGCCATAAGACTCCTGAACAGCTAATCATGGCTACCCGGACTATTTGCACTGCCCCCCCACCCCATCCTTTTTACGCTGCTGCTACTCTGTTAAGTATTTATGCATAGTCACTTTAACTCTACCCACATGTACATATTACCTCAACTACCTCAACTAGCCGGTGCCCCCGCACATTGACTCTGCAACGGTACCCCCCTGTATATATAGCCTCCCTACTGTCACTTTATTTTACTGTATATATAGCCTCCCTACTGTCACTTTATTTTACTTCTGCTCTTTTTTTCTCAACACTTTTTTTGTTGTTGTTTTATTCTTACTTTTTTTGTTTAAAATAAATGCACTGTTGGTTAAGGGCTGTAAGTAAGCATTTCACTGTAATGTCTGCACCTGTTGTATTCGGCGCATGTGACCAATAAAATTTGATTTGATTTGATTTGTTTCTGACCGTTTGAGACACATGCATATTTGTGGCCTGCTGGAGGTCATTTTGCAGGGCTCTGGCAGTGCTCCTCCTGCTCCACCTTGCACAAAGGCAGAGGTAGCAGTCCTGCTGCTGGGTTGTTGCCCTCCTACGGCCTCCTCCACGTCTCCTGATGTACTGGCCTGTCTCCTGGTAGTGCCTCCATGCTCTGGACACTACGCTGACAGACACAGCAAACCTTCTTGCCACAGCTCGCATTGATGTGTCATCCTGGATGAGCTGCACTACCTGAGCCACTTGTGTGGGTTGTAGACTCCGTCTCATGCTACCACTAGAGTGAAAACACCGCCAGCATTCAAAAGTGACCAAAACATCAGCCAGGAAGCATAGGAGCTGAGAAGTGGTCTGTGGTCACCACCTGCAAAACCAGTCCTTTATTGGGGGTGTCTTGCTAATTGCCTTTAATTTCCACCTGTTGTCTATTCCATTTGCACAACAGCATGTGAAATTTATTGTCAATCAGTGTTGCTTCTTAAGTGGACAGTTTGATTTCACAGAAGTGTGATTGACTTGGAGTTACATTGTGTTGTTTAAGTGTTCCCTTTATTTTTTTGAGCAGTGTATATTTGTGTATCTTTTAGCCAATCTGCCAATAACAGCACCATCTCCCCATCCATCTATTGTTTCTCCAAACCCCTGTCTGAAAGCTATTATAGATTAACACACTTACGGGGGTTAGGCTAGAGGTGAGCATCGGGAGTGTGTAAATCTCCTTAGCCATTCTCCCTGTTTGTGTGTGTCTGTGTGAATATTGATCCATAGAGTCCAGAGGAGGAGCTAGCCTCTGTCCTCACAAAGTGCCACATGGACATCTCTCAGCCTGACCAACAGCAGAGCATTAACATCAAAGACATCAATACAACACCCACACTTTTTCCTATTATCACTGCAGAAGATATCACATTTCAATTCAGTTTGAATTGTCTATAGTCATTTTGATAAAGCACTTGTCAAAAATAGACAACAAAATAAACCAAGCTTCCTCACAGTAGTAAAGAACAGTTTCCCCTTATTCTGAGAAACTTTGGGAGGAGTGAGTATGGGTAGTTAATTATGCTGGGACCATATTGAAGTCGACCTAACAAGACTAGCTAAATGTTAGAAGTTTTTTTTTTTACCCATGAACTTTCCTGTCTACCCTCAGGGCCGTAACCCGTTCTTTCTGGAGCCATCGGTGATCATCACCATTACGGATGGAAACAAGCTGACTCACACCTCTGGAGTGTTGGATGAGGTGAGAGAAGACACTGGCCTGTCCTCTGACTGGTTACCTAGAAGTCAGGGGTATTCATAAAGTGTCAGAGTAGGAATGCTGATCTAGGATCAGGTCCCCCCTGTCCATGCAATCTTATTCATTGTGATCTAAAAGGCTAAACTGATCCTAAGTCAGCACTTCCACACTGAGAAGTTTGATACAGACCCATTATAAAAGCAGTGGACTGTGGTTCTGGCTGGGTCTAATGAAGAAGGAATCATTTCACTCTCCAGCCAGTAGAGTTCTTCTGTGAGCTTGGCTAGCAAAGCTGTTAAAGAGAGGCCACATTTGAATCATGCAGGGAGCTCCAGTACATTTGCTTCTTCATGAGCAGTATGTTATTAAGATGACTCACATTCTCTAAACTGTTATTACACTATATAAGAAGAAAAAAACTATTCTGGGCCCAGTTAAATTGTCCAGCCAGAGTCTAGTGAAAAAAGGCAAATTAAATACTAATCCAATTTTCACATCTTGCCCACCTCTACCCCTCTGTCACGCTCGTTGAGAGACGGGTCAGACCAAGGTGCAGCGTGGTATGCGAACATGTTTATTAAATAAAATAAACATTAAACAAAACAAGAAACAACGTAACGTGAAGTCCTCAGGCTAAACACATACAAGCCTAACCCGGAACAAGATCCCACAAACATAGTAAGCAACTGGGCTACCTAAGTATGATCCCCAATCAGAGACAACGAGCGACAGCTGTCTCTGATTGGGAATCACACCCGGCCAAACACAGAAACACAACTCTAGATCCTAAACATAGAAAACATAGATTCACACACCCTGACTCCACAAACAAGAGTTCCATACGTCAGGGCGTGACACCCTCCCCTCTCCCTCCTTTGTGCCCCTATCTCCCTGTCCCCAGCTCCACTTGCCCCTGAACTCTCCCCTGCCAGGCAGTGAGCTGACCAAGGAGCCCTTTCGATGGGACCAGCGTCTCTTCGCCCTGGTGCTGCGTCTCCCCGGTGCTGCCGTGGCCGACAGCGAGCAGCTGGGCAGCGTCCCCACCGACGAGTCTGCCATCACCCAGATGTGTGAGGTCACTGGAGGTAGGATGCCCCCATAGAAATATAGTTAACTTCCTGCTTTACTCCTATGAGTACACTGACCATTGACAGCAAATCCACTCATAATTTACTTCAATGGGGACGCCCATTCTACTCATTCTAGTTCTGTGTATGCCCCCACTGGCTCTGGGGTGGGGCTGTATCTGTTGTTATGCCATTCATGAGACTGGATTTATAATTCCACTTTAGGCCATGTATAACAAAGAAAGAAAGTTGCACTCTATGCTCTCAACAATTGAATGGGTAAACCAATATTTCGTCACACAGTGCCTTCTTCAGGGTTCAGGCTATGTATAATGTAACATTTGCAATGTCCTCAGAGACTGGAAATGAACTCTGCAACTATCTTTGTATTCTCTATGCTTTCTGAAATATTTAAGTGCAGAATGACAGTGCCACTCCATCCCTCTCTCTTTGTTCTTTGTCCCTCCCTCTTTTACTGTTATTTTCCAGGACGATCATACTGTGTGCAGACTCAAAGGATGCTGAACCAGTGTCTGGAGTCTCTGGTCCAGAAGATTCTGAGTGGTGTCGTCATTGACTTTGAAAAGACAGGGCCAGATCCGCCTCTGGTAGGCGAAGGTACATCCTAACAGGAATGCGCTCGGAGTTATTGTGGGTGACTGTGTGTCACTGATTAAGTATCCTCTGATGGTCTCAAGGTGACTCCCTCCGACAGTGCTTGACTGATGTGTTCCGAACAGCTGCTCCGAATGGCTGTTCTTCTGTTTGTGTTCGGTTGAGAAATGGACACCTCATGTTGTTTACATTTACATTGACGTCATTTAGCAGACGCTCTTATCCAGAGCGACTTACAAATGTTGTTGTTTGGTTCTACAGATGGTGTGGTTGACACGATCCGCCCCATGTTGTCCTTCAGCCCACATCCCTGGCACAGCTGCCACAAGCTCATCTACGTGCGACCCAACCCCAAGACAGGGGTGCCCGTAGGCCACTGGCCCATCCCTGAGTCCTTCTGGCCGGACCAGAACTCACCCACTCTGGTGAGAGGATGCCATTAACCACACAGTTACTGATGCAGTAACACTAATGCAAGCTCATTAGTCCCTCCATTTTGAATTACTCAGAGATATTGTTTGTGTGATTATAAAGAGATAGTTCACCCAAATTACAAAATGACACATAGACTGCTTACAGGGTAAGGAAACCAATGGACAAGGTATGACAGCAATCCATGCTTTGGTTTTTATTCCCTGGCACTGTTTCCAAATGCTAATGTTTGAGCATTTGTGGCACGAATCCCATTCAAGTCCTGGTACCGATATGAGCATTTTTCGCGCATCATGTCCAAATAGCATTTGAAAACAGTGCCAGGGAAACTAAACCAAAGCACGGATTGCTGTCAAACCTTGTCCATATACTTTTTACGGGGTAAGGAAGCCAATATGTAATTTGGGTGAACGATCCCTTTAAGCGTTTAATAGATTACATGAAAGAGGATGAGCATTAAGCATTATGCTCCTCTTAAATCCAGTAATTTTGGGGTTAAACATGGCTCTGCACTATTGCCCTCTGGGACCTGTAGTTGTCCTGGCCCCTGGCATCCTGTGAATGATTGCTTCTCGCCACGTCTTTTTTGCCAAGAACTGGGGGTGAAGTTCCTGTGGTGTCATAGCATGGTATGGGTATAGTTTCAGGAGTTTTATTTCTCCTCAACAGGGACAACATTGTATGAAATGCTCTAAATGATCTGTCATTCTCTCCCTCCACACCACTAGCCTCCTCGCTCCGCCCACCCCATGGTGCATTTCACCTGTGTGGACTGTGAGCCCATGGTGATTGACAAGCTGCCCTTTGACAAGTACGAACTGGAGCCCTCACCACTCACCCAGTACATCCTAGAGAGGAAGTCTCCACACATGTGCTGGCAGGTAGGAGAACCACTCCCACACACACCCTCGGAGTTATGGTGTTTATATTTCTAGTGATGCTGTGGGGTGTTGTTTGTGCTGAGCTCTCTCTGTCTCTCTCTCTCTCTTTCTCTCTGTCTATCCCCCCCCCCCCCCCTTCTCAATTCAATTTCAATTTAAGGGGCTTTATTGGCATGGGAAACATATGTTTACATTGCCAAAGCAAGTGAAATAGATAATAAACAAAAGTGAAATAAACAATAAAAAATGAACAGTAAACATTACACAAGAAAGAATAAAGACATTTCAAATGTCATATTATGTATATATACAGTGTTGTAATGATGTGCAAAAGGGAAAATAAATAAACATAAATATAGGTTGTATTTACAATAGTGTTTGTTCTTCACTGGTTGCCCTTTTCTTGTGGCAACAGGTCACAAATCTTGCTGCTGTTGGGTGAAATACCACAATGTGGTATTTCACCCAATAGATATGGGAGTTGATAAAAATTTGATTTGTTTTCGAATTCTTTGTGGGTCTGTGTAATCTGAGGGAAATATGTGTCTCTAATATGGTCATACATTTGGCAGGAGATTAGGAAGTGCACCTCAGTTTCCACCTCATTTTGTGGGCAGTGTGCACATAATAGCCTGTCTTCTCTTGAGAGCCAGGTCTGCCCACGGTGGCCTTTCTCAATAGCAAGGCTATGCTGACTGAGTCTGTACATAGTCAAAGATTTCCTTAATTTTGGGTCAGTCACAGTGGTCAGGTATTCTGCCACTGTGTACTCTCTGTTTAGGGCCAAATAGCATTCTAGTTTGCTTAGATTTCTTGTAAATTCTTTCCAATGTGTCAAGTAATTATATTTTTGTTTTCTCATGATTTGGTTGGGTCTAATTGTGTTGCTGTGCTGGGGCTCTGTGGGGTCTGTTTGTGTTTGTGAACAGAGCCCCAGGACCAGCTTGCTTAGGGGGCTCTTCTCCAGGTTAATTTCTCTGTAGGTGATGGCTTTGTTATGGTAGGTTTGGGAATCGCTTCCTTTTAGGTGGTTGTAGAATTTAATGGCTATTTTTTTATCATTAGCGGGTATCGGCCTAATTCTGTTCTGCATGCATTATTTGGTGTTTTACGTTGTACACAGAGTCTCAATTTGGTGTTTGTCCCATTTTGTGAATTCTTGGTCGGTGAGCGGACCCCAGACCTCACAGCCATAAAAGGCAATAGGTTCTATAACTGATTCAAGTATTTTTAGCCAGATCCTAATTGTATGTCGAATTTTATGTTCCTTTTGATGGCATAGAAGGCCCTTCTTGCCTTGTCTCTCAGATCGTTCACAGCTTTGTGGAAGTTACCTGTGGCGCTGATGTTTAGGCCGAGGTATGTATAGTTTTTTGTGTGCTCTAGGGCAACGGTGTCTAGATGGAATTTGTATTCTGGCAACTGGACCTTTTTTGGAACACCATTATTTTTGTCTTACTGAGATTTACTGTCAGTGCCTGGGTCTGACAGAATCTGATCAGAATATCTAGGTGCTACTGTAGGCCCTCCTTGGTTGGGGACAGAAGCACCAGATCATCAGCAAACAGTAGACATTTGACTTCAGATTCTAGTAGGGTGAGGCCGGGTGCTGCAGACTGTTCTAATGCCCTCGCCAATTCGTTGACATATACAGTACCAGTCAAAAGTCTGGACACACCTACTCATTTAAGGGTTTTTCTTTATTTTTACTATTTTTTACATTGTAGAATAATAGTGAAGACATCAAAACTATGAAATAACACATATGGAATCATGTAGTAACCTTCAAATAGCCACCCTTTGCCTTGATGACAGCTTTGCACACTAATGGCATTTTCAACCAGCTTCATGAGGAATGCTTTTCCAACAGTCTTGAAGGAGTTCCCACATATGCTGAGCACTTGTTCGCTGCTTTTCCTTCACTCTGCGGTCCAACTCATCCCAAACCATCTCAATTAGGTTGAGGTCGGGGGATTGTGGAGGCCAGGTCATCTGATGTAGCACTCCATCACTCTCCTTCTTGGTAAAATAGCCTGGAGGTGTGTTGTGCCATTGTCCTGTTGAAAAACAAATTATAGCCCAAACCAGATGGGATGGCGTATCACTGCAGAATGCTGTGGTAGCCATGCTGGTTAAGCGTGCCTTGAATTTTAAATAAACCACAGACAGTGTCACCAGCAAAGCACCCCCACACAAATATATTTTGATTTGTTTAACACTTTTTTGGTTACTACATGATTCCATATGTGATATTTCATAGTTTTTATGTTTTCACTATTATTCTACAATGTAAAAAATAGTAAAAATAAAGAAAAACCCTTGAATGAGTAGGTGTGTCCAAACTTTCGACTGGTACTGTATGTTGAAGAGGGTGGGGCTTAAGCTGCATCCCTGTCTCACCCCCCGGGTCTGTGGAAAGAAATGTGTGTGTTCTTTGCCAATTTTAACCGCACACTTGTTGTTTGTGTAGATGGATTTCATAATGTCGTATGTTTTTCCCCCAACACCAATTTCCATCAATTTGTATAGCAGACCCTCATGCCAAATTGAGTCGGAAGCTTTTTTGAAATCAACAAAGGATGAGAAGACTTTGCCTTTGTTTTGGTTTGTCAATTAGTGTGTGCAGGGTGAATACGTGGTCTGTCGTACGGTAATTTGGTAAAAAGCCAATTTGACATTTGCTCAGTACATTGTTTTCGCTGATGAAATGTAAGTGTCTGCTGTTAATGATAATGCAGAGGATTTTCCCAAGGTTGCTGTTGACGCATATCCCACGGTAGTTATTGGGGTCAAATTTGTCTCCACTTTTGGGGATTGAAGTGATCAGTCCTTGGTTCCAAATATTGGGGAAGATGCCAGAGCTGAGGATGATGTTAAAGAGTTTAAGTATAGCTAATTGGTAGGCTTTAATAGTTGATTCTAAGATTTGTATTTGATCATGTACAGTGAGGGAAAAAAGTATTTGATCCCCTGCTGATTTTGTAAGTTTGCCCACTGACAAAGAAATGATCAGTCTATAATTTTAATGGTAGGTTTATTTGAACAGTGAGAGACAGAATAACAACAAAAAAATCCAGAAAAACGCATGTCAGAAATGTTATACATTTTAATGAGGGAAATAAGTATTTGACCCCCTCTCAATCAGAAAGATTTCTGGCTCCCAGGTGTCTTTTATACAGGTAACGAGCTGAGATTAGGAGCACACTCTTAAAGGGAGTGCTCCTAATCTCAGCTTGTTACCTGTATAAAAGACACCTGTCCACAGAAGCAATCAATCAATCAGATTCCAAACTCTCCACCATGTCCAAGACCAAAGAGCTCTCCAAGGATGTCAGGACCAAGATTGTAGACCTACACAAGGCTGGAATGTGCTACAAGACCATCGCCAAGCAGCTTGGTGAGAAGGTGACAACAGTTGGTGTGATTATTCGCAAATGGAAGAAACACAAAATAACTGTCAATCTCCATCGGCCTGGGGCTCCATGCAAGATCTCACCTCGTGGATTTGCAATGATCATGAAAACGGTGAGGAATCAGCCCAGAACTACACGGGAGGATCTTGTCAATGATCTCAAGGCAGCTGGGACCATTGTCACCAAGAAAACAATTGGTAACACACTACGCCGTGAAGGACTGAAATCCTGCAGCGCCCGCAAGGTCCCCCTGCTCAAGGAAGCACATATACAGGCCCGTCTGAAGTTTGCCAATGAACATCTGAATGATTCAGAGGAGAACTGGGTGAAAGTGTTGTGGTCAGATGAGACCAAAATGGAGCTCTTTGGCATCAACTCAACTCGCCGTGTTTGGAGGAGGAGGAATGCTGCCTATGACCCCAAGAACACCATCCCCACCGTCAAACATGGAGGTGGAAACATTATGCTTTGGGGGTGTTTTTCTGCTAAGGGGACAGGACAACTTCACCGCATCAAAGGGACGATGGACGGGGCCATGTACCGTCAAATCTTGGGTGAGAACCTCCTTCCCTCAGCCAGGGCATTGAAAATGGGTCGTGGATGGGTATTCCAGCATGACAATGACCCAAAACACACGGCCAAGGCAACAAAGGAGTGGCTCAAGAAGAAGCACATTAAGGTCCTGGAGTGGCCTAGCCAGTCTCCAGACCTTAATCCCATAGAACATCTGTGGAGGGAGCTGAAGGTTCGAGTTGCCAAACGTCAGCCTCGAAACCTTAATGACTTGGAGAAGATCTGCAAAGAGGAGTGGGACAAAATCCCTCCTGAGATGTGTGCAAACCTGGTGGCCAACTACAAGAAACGTCTTACCTCTGTGATTGCCAACAAGGGTTTTGCCACCAAGTACTAAGTCATGTTTTGCAGAGGGGTCAAATACTTATTTCCCTCATTAAAATGCAAATCAATGTATAATTTTTTTTACATGTGTTTTTCTGGATTTTTTGTTGTTATTCTGTCTCTCACTGTTCAAATAAACCTACCATTAAAATGATAGACTGATCATTTCTTTGTCAGTGGGCAAACGTACAAAATCAGCAGGGGATCAAATACTTTTTTCCCTCACTGTACATACCCAGCATCCGACAGAGCTGCAGGAGTTGTGACCCGTTTTTGTTGGTTATGTTGTCGTAGTTGTGTCTAGGAGGGCATATGGGGGAGGGAATGCTGTCACCTCCAGGTAGGTGTTTGTCCCACTGTGTGCTAAGGGTGTCAGGTTCTTGTCAAGTTCTGGCATTTATGTCGCCACAGACTAGTACATGTCCCTGGGACTGGAAAGTGTTGATCTCCCCTCTAGGATGGAGAAGCTGTCATCATTAAAGTATGAGGATTGTATTGGGGGGATACAGGTAGCACACATGAGGACATTTTTCTCTGTTGAGATAATTTCATTATTAATTTCTAGCCAGATGTAATCTAGCTCTCTGTAACCTAGAGGGCAACCAGTGGGTCCGTCTCCTTTATACCATGTTTCTTGTAGGATGACAATGTTTGTATTTCCAATTTCTTTGATGAAGTCTTGGTTCCTGCTCTTTAGGCCAAAGGCAGATGACCCAGACCTTGTATATTCCAGGATGAGATAGTAAAAGCTTTGTGTTCCATAGTGTCTAGTGTTGTTTTTGCGTGGTTTAGGCCCGGACCATCACAGTAGGTGTGAGCAGAGCATGTTGAGCGTCTGATACATACCTCTTAGGTCGCAGGATGGGGCTTGGGCGGGTGTAATAGTTGGGGTTGTGCCTGTTGCTCTTCTCACAGACTGGGCATATGTCCTGCTGTCATGTTGAGGTTCTTGCCGCAGGGGCGGGGAGCATGGGATGGACAGAAGGGGCATAGGTCTGATATGGGGGGGCCTATATAGGGTGTGGCCAGGGTTTGCTTGGGGTGGTCTTAGCTGGTTGGGGTGTGGCTGGTGATGCTGTGGTCTGGGTGTAGGTCCTCTTGGCGTGGGTTCTCTTGGTGCAGGTCCTTGGGGGGGGTCTTGCAGGTCTGGGCGGGGTGTCTGTTACTCCTGTGTGAGGTGCTGGGGCTACGGTTGAGGGTGACGTCTTTCAGGGTCCTGGCAAAAGTTGGGATTGCTGCCTTGTAGAGGTGGACCTGGTCGTAAAAGCTGTTCAAGTCCAGGGTGGAATGGTAGGCCAGGTAGACAGTAGGTTTTGAGGCACAGTCTCGTGAAATACATTCTCCCGCTGTATGGTGGCAGGGTGAAAGTATTTTCGTGGTAGCAGGTTGGAGATAACCACTGGGGAAAGTGGAAGAAGCTTTTTCAATCACTCCCTTGAGTGATGTAGCCACCCTTTCCTGCTCTGCCCTCAGGTCATTTGTGCCCGTGTGAATTATGATGTGGCTGGGGGACCCTAGTCTGTCCTCTGACAACAGCTCCAGGGCATGCCTAATGTTTGGACACCAGAGTTTAGCCACTTTGAGTTTGGGAAAAAGTTTATCCTCTTGAATGTATTTGCCATTTGAATCAATGAGGAGCACAATCTCTGGCTTTTGTGTGTCCTCAGTGGATGTGTGGGGCTTGTCAGGAGGGCTATCAGGGGAGCTGACAGGGGGGCTGTTAGGAGGGGGTGTGGTCTGTTGAGTTGGTGGGTCCTGTGTTGTCTGTCCCATTGTGGTGTTGAGGTTGTGGTACGGGTCTGAGGTGGGCTGTTCTGCTGGCTTCTCTGGGGGAGTGGCCTACTCTCTGTCACGCCTCAGCTTTCTCACCTCCTCCTTCAGTGCCGTGCTCTTTAAGTTCTCTCAGCTCAGTCCGTAGAGCAGCCAGCTCTCTCAGACAACCGTCCATCTCCACCTTCTGCCCTCCGGGTCTTGTTGGGGGCGGTGTTGTTGTGCTGGCCTGCTTTGTGGGTTTGTTCTGTCTGGATTGTGTGGACTAGCTCTCTGAGCTCCACCATGTCTCTCTCCAGCGCTGTGAATTTATCCCTCTCAATGATGGAGGAGCAGTGCAGTTGTGGGACCTGTGTGTGTTCAGTGCTGGGGGGGGTGACTATCCTCGTCTGCAGGACAGTTTGAAGAGGTGTGATCAGACTCACTCAGGATGGGGGAGTCATCACAGAGAGAGAGCTTTTCCTGCTGTGCTCTCTCTTTGATCTAGTAAAAGTCCTGCTGGAACTGCTTGAGGATGCCCTTCACCATTACTGTCCTAGACTTGTACACGTTGACAGAGGTTGTTTCAATTTCCTCAAAGTCTAGTATTCTGAGTTTCCACCCTGGGCCAATAACCTCTCTCTTGACATAGGGGTAGTGTGCTCTTACAGCACTGTGCCATGCCAGGGGATGGTCTGTGTGGGAAATTAAGTTGCTTACGTTCCCCTCTTTGTAGCAGTCAGCAAATAGTGTCTCTGGATTGTCCTTGAGGAGCTTTGTTTTGTACTTATTCCATGCAGGGTTATTTTTTAACATCCATGGGGTACTGTATTGTAATGACTTCTGCACAGGGATAAGCAATGGGGGCTTCAAAGGTCCATGCATTTGGCTGTGAAATTCTCCTGCCATTGTTGGGCTCAAGAGTTTTCACACATCTGATTTCACACTTCAGTGCTAATTGAAGTTGCAGCCAGGTTTGTTTTGTCCTAGCTGCTTGGTAGCTTAATATACTTATTTACATTTTAGTCATTTAGCAGACGCTCTTATCCTGAGCGACTTACAGTTAGTGAGTGCATACATTTTCATACATTTTCATACTTGCCCCCCGTGGGAAACAAACCCACTACCAACTGAGCTACAGGGGACAGTAGCTTTACTTAGCTTTACATAACAAAATTACCTAGAGATTGTTGTCTTTTACTTTTTGGCTTCAGAAGTACCTTCAGACTGAATATTACTCACTCAGTTTTGTGTTGGATGTTATTTCCAGGTTCCACTTGTTTCTTCTGCAGATTTTGGTTCGTTATAAGTTTTTTCTTGATTGTCCTTGGTAGTAATACTCCATTCAGGTAATTTTGTCCAAAATCAAGGTTTTAGGTATGGAATTTGGATTGAATTTGGATTTGGATTGAAGGTTTTGATGTTGAGGTTAGTATCTCTCTCTCTCTTTCCCTGCAGGTGTTTGTGAACAGTAGTGGAAAGCACAGTGACTCATCCCAGCCCTTTGGCTACCTGAAGGCCAGCACCACTCTCACCTGTGTCAACCTCTTCGTCATGCCTTACAACTACCCAGTTCTTTTGCCACTCCTTGGTAAGTGAGATTGTGGATGTCTTATTATTATATTTTTTTATTTAACCTTTATTCTGACAGGGAGTCATGCTGAAACCAAGGTATCTTTTACAGATTAGCCCTGTATCAAACATACACATCAATACACATCAATATACACATCAAAAAGCAAAACACAATCAATGTTTTTTATAAAACAAACATATTCTTCAGTAAAAAGGTCATCAATCAGCCGTCTGAATTGCCCTAGAGGCACCAACTCTTCCATTTTAGAGAGCTTTGAAGATTATTCCACAAGTGCAAAAAAACTAAAAGCAGATTTACCTAACTCAGTGGATATCGAAGAAATCTCCAGAGTTAGCCATCCCTGAGACTGGGTCTGGTAGCTCGTACATCTGTAGGTTAACAATGAAGTAAGGTACGGCGGAAGTTTATGCAAAAGGTCTTTATAAACAAAAATAGTGCAATGCATCAATCTACAGGACTTCAAAGAGGGCCAAGCTACTTTCTGATACAGAAAGCAATGATGTGTACTGAACCTGTCGCCCGTAATAAAGCGTAGTGCGTTATGATAAACTGCGTCCAAAGGCTTCAATATACAGTGGGGAGAACAAGTATTCAGAAAAAAAAAAACATCCAGAAAATCACATTGTATGATTTAAGTAATTAATTTGCATTTTATTGCATGACATAAGTATTTGATACATCAGAAAAGCAGAACTTAATATTTGGTACAGAAACCTTTGTTTGCAATTACAGAGATCATACGTTTCCTGTAGGTCTTAACCAGGTTTGCACAAACTGCAGCAGGGATTTTGGCCCACTCCTCCATACAGACCTTCTCCAGATCCTTCATGTTTCGGGGCTGTCGCTGGGCAATACGGACTTTCAGCTCCCTCCAAAGATTTTATATTGGGTTCAGGTCTGGAGACTGGCTAGGCCACTTCAGGACCTTGAGATGTTTCTTACGGAGCCACTCCTTAGTTGCCCTGGCTGTGTGTTTCGGGTTGTTGTCATGCTGGAAGACCCAGCCACGACCCATCTTCAATGCTCTTACTGAGGGAAGGAGGTTGTTGGCCAAGATCTCGCGATACATGGCCCCATCCATCCTCCCCTCAATACGGTGCAGTCGTCCTGTCCCCTTTGCAAAAAAACATCCCCAAAGAATGATGTTTCCACCTCCATGATTCACGGTTGGGATGGTGTTCTTGGGGTTGTACTCATCCTTCTTCTTCCTCCAAACACGGCGTGTGGAGTTTAGACCAGAAAGCTCTATTTTTGTCTCATCAGACCACATGACCTTCTCCCATTCCTCCTCTGGATCATCCAGATGGTCATTGGCAAACTTCAGACGGGCCTGGACCTGCGCTGGCTTGAGCAGGGGGACCTTGCGTGTGCTGCAGGATTTTAATCCATGACCGCGAAGTGTGTTACTAATGGTTTTCTTTGAGACTGTGGTCCCAGCTCTCTTCAGGTCATTGACCAGGTCCTGCCGTGTAGTTCTGGGCTGATCCCTCAACTTCCTCATGATCAATGATGCCCCACGAGGTGAGATCTTTCATGGAGCCCCAGACCGAGGGTGATTGACCGTCATCTTGAACTTCTTCCATTTTCTAATAATTGCGCCAACAGTTGTTGCCTTCTCACCAAGCTGCTTGCCTATTGTCCTGTAGCCCATCCCAGCCTTGTGCAGGTCTACAATTGTATCCCTGATGTCCTTACACAGCTCTCTGGTCTTGGCCATTGTGGAGAGGTTGGAGTCTGTTTGATTGAGTGTGTGGACAGGTGTCTTTTATACAGGTAACGAGTTCAAACAGGTGCAGTTAATACAGGTAATGAGTGGAGAACAGGAGGGCTTCTTAAAGAAAAACTAACAGGTCTGTGAGAGACGGAATTATTACTGGTTGGTAGGTGATCAAATACTTATGTCATGCAATAAAATGCACATGAATTACTTAAAAATCATACAATGTGATTTTCTGGATTTTTGTTTTAGATTCCGTCTCTCACAGTTGAAGTGTACCTATGATAAAAATGACAGACCTCTACATGCTTTGTAAGTAGGAAAACTTGCAAAATCGGCAGTGTATCAAATACTTGTTCTCCCCACTGTATGTACTATAAGGGTCACAGGTTGTTTTATAACTTATTTAAGGCTGCTACGTGCAAAATGTATTTTCTGTATTTTGAAAATACAAAATACATGTATTTCAATTAAATAAATAAAACATTTTGGTGTTTATTTTGATACATTGGTCTTTAGGGTATTTTGTATTTTGTAACTAGATACATTTTGATGTACAGTACCAGTCAAAAGTTTGGACACACCTACTTATTCAAAGGTTTTTCTTTATTTTTACTATTTTCTACATTGTAGAATAATAGTGAAGACATCAAAACTATGAAATAACACATATGGAATCATGTAGTAACCAAAAAAGTTGAGATTCTTCAAATAGCCAACCTTTGCCTTGATAACAGCTTTGCACACTCTTGGCATTCTCTCAACCAGCTTCACCAGTCTTGAAGTAGTTCCCACATATGCTGAGCACTTGTTGGCAGGTTTTCCTTCACTCTGCCGTCCCGACTCATCCCAAACCATTTCAATTGGGTTGAGGTCAGGGGATTATGGAAGCCAGGTCATCTGATGCAGCACTCCATCACTCTACTTCTTGGTAAAATAGCCCTTATACAGCCTGGAGATGTGTTTGGTCATTGTCCTGTTAAAAAACAAATACTAAGCCCAAACCAGATGGGATGGCGTATCGCTGCAGAATGTTGTGGGAGCCATGCTGGATAAGTGTGCCTTGAATCTAAATAAATCACAGACAGTGTCACCAGCAAAGCACCCCCACACCATAACACCTCCTCCTCCATGCTTTACGGTGGGAACTACACTTGCAGAGATCATCCGTTCACCCACACTGCGTCTCACAAAGACATGGCGGTTGGGACCAAAGGACACATTTCCACCGGTCTAATGTCCATTGCTCGTGTTTCTTGGCCCAAGCAGGTCTCTTCTTCTTATTGGTGTCCTTTAGTAGTGGTTTCTTTGCAGCAATTCGACCATGAAGGCCTGATTCACACAGTCCCCTCTGAACAGTTGATGTTGAGATGTGTCTGTGACTTGAACTCTATGAAGCATTTATTTGGGCTTGATGGTTTTTGTGACTGCACTTGAAGAAACGTTAAAAGTTCTTGAAATGTTCCGTATTGACTGACCTTCATGTCTTAAAGTAATGATGGACTGTCGTTTCTCTTTGCTTATTTGAGCTGTTTTTGCCATAATATGGACTTGGTCTTTTACCAAAAAAATAAACCTTGAATGAGTAGGTGTGTCCAATCTTTTGACTGGTACTGTATCTTTTCCCATCTCTGGGTGTTCTTGGATGATTATGCTTCTCTCTCCTCCTAACCCCCAACCCCTCTGTCTTCACAGATGACCTGTTTAAAGTGCACAAACTGAAGCCAAACCTAAAGTGGCGGCAGGCTTTTGAGATCTACCTGAAGACCATGCCTCCTTACTTTCTCTTGGTAATGTACCGTGCTTGATCAATGCCATATATGTAAATATATATTTGAATCCATATATGCTATTGCGTGTATTTAATGTTTCTTTGATGGTGATGCCCTTCTATGAGCTCTCACTGTGTTTCCCCCTTACAGCCATTAAAGAAGGCACTGAGAATGATGGGAGCGCCCAACCTTATCTCCGACAACATGGACAGTGGTCTCAGCTACAGCGTCATCTCCTACCTAAAGAAGCTTAGCCAGCAGGTGGTGCTTCCCTCACCTGGTCTGCATCCCAAATGGCGCCTTATTCTTTATAAGTGCACTAGGTTTGACGAGGGCCCATAGGGCTCTGGTCAAAAGTAGTGCACTATATAAGGAATAGGGTGCCATTTGGGATGCACACCTAGTCTCTGTATATATCTACAGCTTTCAAAGTTTGTACAACGTGATACAATACGTATTTAACTTACATGAGGGTCACCTAAGTAGATCTGAATACAGTTTTGAAGTACACCCAGCTAGTGTGAGTAAGTGGATAAAGAGCCTGTCTTTGTCTCTTTCTCTGTCTGCAGGCGAAGATTGAGTCGGATCGCCTGATCGTGTCTGTAGGGAGGAAGGCACCCCAGGAGACTGGTATAAAGGTGAAGAACCACTCCAACACCCTGTCCCTGGCCCACCGCAAAGACTTCAAGCAGCTGCTGCAGGGTATCACCGGGGAGATGCCCCTTCGCCTCACAGACATCAACTTCAAGGAGTTTGCCAGCTTTCAGATTGCACTGCTCAACAAGGTACAGGACCAGCAGGGTCGAAACTCTGAGATGCCTGAGAGTATATGTGTGTCCCAAATGGCACCCTATTCCCTATATAGTGCACTACTTTTGACCAGAGGCCAGGGTATAGGATGCCATTTGAGACACAGATATGTTTCTAGATTTAAGCGACAGACAGGGTTGAAGAAAAGGTTTTTGTGTCTCACTAGACTCCCTATCTCTCCTCAGAATCTAAAGCCTCAGGCGTATCGGAACGCCTATGACATCCCCAGGCGGAACCTTCTAGATCAGCTGACACGGATGCGCTCCAACCTTCTGAAGACGACTCAGAAACTCATCAGAGGACAAGATGAAGGTAGACTTGAAAGCTGCTTAATCATCAGTTAGATTATTCTTGTCAGTCTATTGACTACAGTATGAATACATAATGTAAGAAGTGGAAAAATTTCACATGAACTGTTGATAGTAGCCATCTAAAGAATGTATTTATATGGTAATGAATACAATAACGGGTTTATCGTGATGTCTCCATTTAAATGTATTTGTATTGACATTGACTCTGTGCTGGTTGTTAGACTACCTTCATAGTATACCTGTGGCTCAGATGGGCAACTACCAGGAGTATCTAAAGATGATGCCGTCTCCTCTGAGACAGATCGACCCTGACCAACCCAAACGCCTACACACATTCGGCAACCCCTTCAAACAGGACAAGAAGGTACACACACGTACACACACACACACACACACACACACACTTTTCAATGCATATAACAGCAAAGATCAGCAAAAACAACAGAGGGTCATCATTATTGTTTGCAAGTCTTTTACCTAAAAACATTTTGTCTCCCTTTTTTCTGATCCCAGGGGATGATGATTGACGAGGCAGATGAGTTTGTAATGGGTCCCCAAAGCAAGAAGAGAGGGGTAACGGGGGACCCCAACTCAGGGGCTGCTCTGAAGAGAAGGCGTAGCCTGTCCCCTTTATTGTGTCGGCCCCAGACTCCACCAATCATCACCAACCATGTGGTGGGGATGGGGCCCAATGGGAACGGGGCCCAGGGCCAGCCTGGCCTCATCAAGCCCATCCCAGTGCACAAAGGTAGGGGACATGCACTAACAGTCAAAAGTTTGGACACATCTACTCATTCAAGGGTTTTTCTTTATTTGTAAAAAAATGTACATTGTATAATAATAGTGAAGACATCAAAACTATGAAATAACACATATGGAATAATGTAGTAACCAAAACGTGTTAAACAAATCAAAATATATTTTATATTTAAGATTCTTCAAATAGCTACCCTTTGTCTTGATGACAGCTTTGCACACTCTTGGCATTTTCTCAACCAGCTTCACCTGGAAGGCTTTTCCAACAGTCTTGAAGGAGTTCCCACATATGCTGAGAACTTGTTGGCTGCTTTTCCTTCACTCTGCGGTCCGAATCATCCCAAAACATCTCAATTGGGTTGAGGTGAGGGGATTGTGGAGGCCAGGTCATCTGATGCAGTACTCCATCACTCTCCTTGGTCAAATAGCCCTTACACAGCCTGGAGGTGTGTTGGGTCATTGTCCTGTTGAAAAACAAATCATAGTCCCACTAAGCCCAAACCAGATGGGATGGTTTATCGCTGTAGAATGCTGTGGTAGCCATGCTGGTTAAGTGTGCCTTGAATTCTAAATAAATCACAGACAGTGTCACCAGCAAAGCACCCCCACACCATAATACCTCCTCCTCCATGCTTTACGGTGGGAAATACACATAGTGAGATCATCCGTTCACCCACACCGCGTCTCACAATGACACGGCGGTTGGAACCAAAAATCTCCAATTTGGACTCCAGACCAAAGGACACATTTCCACCGGTCTAATGTCCATTGCTCGTGTTTCTTGGCCCAAGGGTGGCTATTTGAAGAATCTCAAATATAAAATATATTTTGATTTGTTTAACAACTTTTTGGTTACTACATGATTCCATATGTGTTATTTCATAGTTTTGATGTCTTAACTATTATTCTACAATGTAGAAAATAGTAAAAATAAAGAAAAACCCTTGAATGAGTAGGTGTGTCCAAACTTTTGACTGGTACTGTATATAGTATGGAAATGGCAGATCTTAGTCTGAGATTGTTAAATTTGCGTAGTGCTCAGAAAATTGCTTGCAGCCATAAAACTTCAACCTCAATACAAAATGGATCCTCATTGAAAACACCAAGTGTTGGTGTTCATCATCTAGACAGTGTTGAAATGAAATATGCTCTTCTGTCCCCCACAGGAGCAGAGGGGAACAGCGTGCTAGGCACGGAGAGTAACGGGGAGAGTGGTCTGGGGCCTGAATCAGGGGACAGCTGGCCTGGAGGGGTGATGGACGGTGTGGGAGGGGGCACAGCTGGACTCATCCTAGAGGAGAGAGAGGGGGAGAGGCCTGGGATGTGTGCGGAGATGGGGGACAGCGGGGAAGACAGTGGCGTGGAGGACGACAGGTTAGGGGAGGATGGCCTGGACGAGCGGCCCCCCTCAGAGAGACAGCAGCAGAACTTTGAGGGGGGGCTGAGCCCACCGGACCAGGAGGGAGAGCTGGAGGGAGATGGAGATGGAGCAGACCAAGCTGAACCCGAGGCGGTTACCATAGCCCCACTAGATGGCAGCAATGCTGAGCTGCGCACACGGGTCATCAAGGAGGTCCGCAAACCTGGCCGCAGTGAGTGGTGACACAGATACTACTGTCCCAACGCTCTAGTCTGGTGTGCAGTGTATTTCTATCCAGATTACACTTCAGTTTAATGTCAAAATTGATCAGACACTGCAGATTGAATGTCATCATCCAGGCACACACCGTTGCGTCGTGCATAAGAACAGCCCTTAGCCATGGTATATTGGCCATATACCACATCCACTCGGGCCTTATTGCTTAATTATAAGAGTACTGAGCCGTGTCCCAAATGGCACCCTATTAATTTATAGTGCACTACTTTTGACCAGGGCCTATGGGGCTCTGGTAAGAAGTAGTGCACTATATAGGGAATAGGATGCCATTGGGGAATTGGGACGCATACCTGGTCTTACATTTCACCATGCTAATCCAACTAGTTAAGTCCCTTATCTTCCATCTGCTGGACCACCTCCACTGACCCCTGACTGTGCCTGTGCTTGTTCCCAGACTATGAGACCATATTCAGGCTACTGGAGGAGGTGAAGGGACATGTGACGATCCAGAGGTACTTCATCTATCACGCTATCAAGGAGGCTGCCAGGTGAGACCCACTGTCTGTCCACACCAGAGTTCATACAGTACAGACTGAGAACAATGAAAACAACACAGAGTACAGTGGCTTGCGAAAGTATTCACCCCCCTTGGCATTTTTACTATTTTGTTGCCTTACAACCTGGAATTAAAATTGATTTTTTGGGGGTTTGTATCATTTGATTTACACAACATGCCTACCACTTTGAAGATGCAACATATTTTTTATTGTGAAACAAACAAGAAATAGGACAAAAAAACTGAAAACTTGAGCGTGCATAACTATTAACCCCCCCAAAGTCAATACTTTGTAGAGCCACCTTTTGCAGCAATTACAGCTGCAAGTCTCATGGGGTATGTCTCTATAAGCTTGGCACACTGGGATTTTTGCCCATTCTTCAAGGTAAAACTGCTCCAGCTCCTTCAAGTTGGATGGGTTCTGCTGGTGTATAGCAATCTTTAAGTCATACCACAGATTCTCAATTGGATTGAGGTCTGGGCTTTGACTAGGCAATTCCAAGACATTTAAATGTTTCCCCTTAAACCACTCAAGTGTTGCTTTAGCAGTATGCTTAGGGTCATTGTCTTGCTGGAAGGTGAACCTCCGTCCCAGTCTCAAATCTCTGGAAGACTGAAACAGGTTTCCCTCAAGAATTTCCCTGTATTTAGCGCCATCCATCATTCCTTCAATTCTGACCAGTTTCCCAGTCCCTGCCAATGAAAATCATCCCCACAGCATGATGCTGCCACCACCATGCTTCACTGTGGGGATGGTGTTCTCGAGGTCATGAGAGGTGTTGGGTTTGCGCCAGACATTTTCCTTGATGGCCAAAAAGCTAAATTTTAGTCTAATCTGACCAGAGTACCTTCTTCCATATGTTTGGGGAGTCTCCCACATGCCTTTTGGCGAACACCAAACGTGTTTGCATATTTTTTTATTGAAGCAATTGCTTTTATCTGGCCACTCTTCAGTAAAGCCCAGCTCTGTGGAGTGTATGGCTTAATGTGGTCCTATGGACAGATACTCCAATCTCCGCTGTGGAGCTTTGCAGCTTCTTTAGGGTTATCTTTGGTCGCTTTGTTGCCTCTGATTAATGCCCTCCTTGCCTGGTCCGTGAGTTTTGGTGGTCGGCCCTCTCTTGGCAGGTTTGTTGTGGTGCAATACAGTGAGGGAAAAAAGTATTTGATCCCCTGCTGATTTTGTACGTTTGCCCACTGACAAAGAAATTATCAGTCTATAATTTTAATGGTAGGTTTATTTGAACAGTGAGAGACATATCGAGCTCTTAGGCATCAACTCAACTCACCGTGTTTGGAGGAGGAGGAATGCTGCCTATGATCCCAAGAACACCATCCTCACCGTCAAACATGGAGGTGGAAACATTATGCTTTGGGGGTGTTTTTCTGCTAAGGGGACAGGACAACTTCACCGCATCAAAGGACGATGGACGGGGCATGTACTGTCAAATCTTGGGTGAGAACCTCCTTCCCTCAGCCAGGGATTTGAAAATGGGTCGTGGATGGGTATTCCAGCATGACAATGACCCAAAACACACGGCCAAGGCAACAAAGGAGTGGCTCAAGAAGAAGCACATTAAGGTCCTGGAGAGGCCTAGCCAGTCTCCAGACCTTAATCCCATAGAAAATCTGTGGAGGGAGCTGAAGGTTTGAGTTGCCAAACGTCAGCCTTGAAACCTTAATGACTTGGAGAAGATCTGCAAAGAGGAGTGGGACAAAATCCCTCCTGAGATGTGTGCAAACCTGGTGGCCAACTACAAGAAACGTCTGACCTCTGTGATTGCCAACAAGGGTTTTGCCACCAAGTACTAAGTCATGTTTTGCAGAGGGGTCAAATACTTATTTCCCTCATTAAAATGCAAATCAATTTATAACATTTTTGACATGCGTTTTTCTGGATTCTTTTGTTGTTATTCTGTCTCTCACTGTTCAAATAAACCTACCATTAAAATTATAGACTGATCATGTCTTTGTCAGTGGGCAAACGTACAAAATCAGCAGGGGATCAAATACTTTTTTCCCTCACTGTATTCTTTCCGGTTTTTAATAATGGATTTATTGGTGCTCCGTGGGATGTTCAAAGTTTCAGATATTTTTTTATAACCCAACCCTGATCTGTACGTCTCCACAACTTTGTCCCTGACCTGTTTGGAGAGCTCCTTGGTCTTCATGGTGCCACTTGCTTGGTGGTGCCCCTTGCTTAGTGGCGTTGCAGACTCTGGGGCCTTTCAGAACAGGTGTATATATACTGAGATCATGTGACACTTAGATTGCACACAGGTGGACTTTATTTAACTAATTATGTGACTTCTGAAGGTAATTGGTTGCACCAGATCTTATTTAGGGGCTTCATAGCAAAAAGGGGTGACTACATATACACGCACCACTTTTCTGTTATTTATTCTTTTGAATCAGGTTTTTTTTCTTCATTTCACTTCACCAATTTTGACTATTTTGTGTATGTCCACTACATGAAATCAAAATCAAAATCAATTTAAATTACAGGTTGTAATGCAACAAAATAGGAAAAACGCCAATGGGGCTGAATACTTTTGCAAGGCACTGTAGCTAAACTCCACAGTGTATGAGAATATCAGTGACTTCCTCATTCATAACTGATGAAGTGGTTACAAGGGTGGATACAGCAGTGTGATATTTGAAAATTAAAAAACGCCAGTGTCCAACTAAAGATAAGGATTCCTTCCCAGATTTAATGCCGTCAGTGCACTGCAGCCATTAGTACATTGCAGTCATTCTGCTTCCTCAAATCTCAAAACCTCCACTGCAATGCAGTTGCCCTGAAATTATATTAGACATCCACTCAACTCAATCCCATTCTCCCTGTTGCCTTCCATTTTATCCCTCTTCTCCCCTCTTTGTCTCTCTCTCCTCTCAGGTTTAAGAAGTGGGTGCTTATCCAGCAGTTGGAGACAGCTCTGGAGGAGATTGAGCTGCAGCTGCCTGCTTCCCACACCAACAACGACCACGGCAGATAGTGAAGAAGAGGCCTGCAGGGGTCTCTGCTCAGAAACACAAAGACATGGAGAGGAGCAGGGTACTCTGACACATGGGCAAACACTTCCCCAATAGGATGGAAAGTCTGAGAAAAGGAGACAAGGCTCTCCTCATGCAGGGGGCTGAGGTCCCTCCCTATCCATGTGCTGTGACATCGTACCTCTACAGCACTCACACATGGAGATCGAGGGAGGGAGGAGGAAAGTTGGGCCAGACCAATGTGGGGATGAGTTAAGAGACAATGTAATCCCATCCATTAGTGACTGATGCCATTGCTGACCATATGGCCAAGTCAGTCTGTCCAAAGACAATGAACTCATACACACACACTCCTTTTGAATCAGGTCTTTCACAAACTGTAGTGCATTTCTGATGAGTCATTATAGTACAGGGGACAGGATTTTTCATGTGAGGCATGTAATAATGGAACTCTTATTACAGCAATTGTACATGTAGTGTAATATTGGTAATGACTATTGACAATACAGCTACAGGACAGCTGTGCACACATTACAATTCAGAGCAATAAGGAGCTTGGCATCCAACTGATCAGAAGGTTTAACATTAGTCTATTTCTGTTTGGGCTAAGAATATACATTTGATGTTAGAAACACTGTGTACTAACTATATAGAAGCTGTGGCTCACATGAGAAATCTGATATACCGCCACTCTTCTAGGTGTTGTGGTTTCTTTGGGTATTTTGTGTTGCATGGGCCTGCAGGACAATAATACCATGTCAAATCAGATGCTGACTTAAAATGCCCTCCATTGATCAACTGTCCCAGCATGTGAGCGGTCCTCAAAGCAATAGTACTTTTCATCACAAGAGGTTGGTGGCACCTTAATTGGGGAGGACGGGCCTGTGGTAATGGATGGAGTGGAATTGTATCAAATACGTCAAACACATGGTTTCCATGTGTTTGACGCCATTCCATTCGCTCCGTTCCAGCCATTATTATGAGCCGCCCTCCCCCCAGCAGCCTCCACTGCTCTTCATATAGATTATGATAAGTAACATCTGTGGATTTGCAATAAAACATTGGTGCGGTCACTAAGAGGATGCCAGCTGTTGGGGTCCCATCTTGAGGTTCTGGACTGGAGCCTGGGCTACTCCCTCCCCCCTCTAGTAGTGCAGTACTGTAAATAGGGAGCCATTTGGGACGTGCTCTGAGTGTCAGTGTCCCCATTGATTCTCCCCTGGAAGAACTGTGTGGTCAACCAAAATCTCTGCTCCCCCTTCGTCAGTCACTTGTTCCTGGACTAGCACAGCTGGTGAACAACCAACTAACCATCTGCTGCATTTCAGAGAACAAACACAAGTTACCCATCTCTTTTTCTCCAAAGTTTCTTTTTTAAATGAAATATGTAAAAAAACAAATTGTTCATAGAAAATATATATTTTTGGATGGTGTCATACCAGAACATAAAACATTTGAATATTTTGAAAGTAAAAGTTGTATAAAGCCCATTAAACTGTAAACTGTTATTTATACAATTTAAAATGTTATGCTTCTTTTTTAAAGAAACAAAAAATTAAAGAAACAGATTTCAAAGGTTCTATGAAGTGTTTTATTAAGTATGTTGTGCACTGACATATGTTTTACCGTTTAGAAATGAAACCACTTTATGTATCTAAGTTGGGATTTCATGTAATGGACATACACAAAATAGTCCAAATTGGTGAAGTGAAATGAACTTGTTTCAAAAAATTCTAAAAAATAAATAAACGGAAAAGTGGTGCGTGCATATGTATTCACCCCCTTCGCTATGAAGCCCCTAAATAAGATCTGGTGCAACCAATTACCTCCAGAAGTCACATAATTAGTTAAATAAAGTCCATCTGTGTGCAATCTAAGTGTCACATGATCTCAGTATATATACACACCTGTTCTGAAAGGCCCCAGACTCTGCAACGCCACTAAGCAAGGGGCACCACCAAGCAAGTGGCACCATGAAGACCAAGGAGCTCTCCAAACAGGTCAGGGACAAAGTTGTGGAGAAGTACAGATCAGGGTTCGGTTATAAAAAAATATCAGAAACTTTGAACATCCCACGGAGCACCATTAAATCCATTATTTAAAAAATGGAAAGAATATGGCACCGCAACAAACCTGCCAAGAGAGGGCCGCCCACCAAAACTCACAGACCAGGCAAGGAGGGCATTAATCAGAGGCAACAAAGAGACCAAAGATAACCCTAAAGAAGCTGCAAAGCTCCACAGTGGAGATTGGAGTATCTGTCCATAGGACCACTTTAAGCCGTACACTCCACAGAGCTGAGCTTTACTGAAGAGTGGCCAGATAAAAGCAATTGCTTAAATAAAAAAAATATGCAAACAAAAGGCATGTGGGAGACTCCCCAAACATATGGAAGAAGGTACTCTGGTCAGATGAGACTAAAATTGAGCTTTTTGGCCATCAAGGAAAATGCTATGTCTGGCGCAAACCCAACACCTCTCATCACCCCGAGAACACCATCCCCACAGTGAAGCATGGTGGTGGCAGCATCATGCTGTGGGGATGTTTTTCATCGACAAGGACTGGGAAACTGGTCAGAATTGAAGGAATGATGGATGGCGCTAAATACAGGGAAATTCTTGAGGGAAACCTGTTTCAGTCTTCCCAAGATTTGAGACTGGGACGGAGGTTCACCTTCCAGCAGGACAATGACCCTAAGCATACTGCTAAAGCAACACTTGAGTGGTTTAAGGGGAAACATTTAAATGTCTTGGAATGGCCTAGTCAAAGCCCAGACCTCAATCTGTGGTATGACTTAAAGATTGCTGTACACCAGCGGAACCCATCCAACTTGAAGGAGCTGGAGCAGTTTTGCTTTGAAGAATGGGCAAAAATCCCAGTGGCTAGATGTGCCAAGCTTATAGACATATCCCAAGAGACTTGCAGCTGTAATTGCTGCAAAAGTTGGCTCTACAAAGTATTGACTTTGGGGGGGTGAATAGTTATCCACGCTCAAGTAGTTTTTTTTGTCTTATTTCACAAAATAAAATATTTCGTATCTTCAAAGTGGTAGGCATGTTGTGTAAATCAAATGATACAAACCCCCCCAAAATCCATTTTAATTCCAGGTTGTAAGGCAACAAAATAGGAAAAATGCCAAGGGGGATGAATACTTTCGCAAGCCACTGTACACACATTATATATATATATATATATATATATATATATATATATATATATATATATATATATATATATATATATATATACACACACACATACACACACACAAGTATGTGGACACCCCTTCAAATTAGTGGATTTGGCTATTTCAGCCACACCCATTGCTGACAGGTGTATAAAATCGAGCACACAGCAATGCAATTTCCATAGACAAACATAGAATGGCCTTATTGAAGAGCTCAGTGACTTTCAATGTGGCACCGTCATAGGATGCCACCTTTCCAACAAGTCAAGTTCGTCAGATTTCTGCCCTGCTAGAACTGTCCCGGTCAACTGTAAGTGCTGTTATTGTGAAGTGGAAACGTCTAGCAGCAACAACAGCTCAGCCGCAAAGTGGTAGGCCACACCAGCTAACAGAAAGGGACTGCCGCGTGCTGAAACGCGTAAAAGTAATCTGTACTCGGTTGCAACACGCACTACCAAGTTCCAAACTGCCTCTGGAAGCAACATCAGCACAAGAACTGTTCGTCGGGGGGCTTCATGAAATGGTTTTCCATGACAGAGCAGCCGCACACAAGCCTAAGACCACCATGCGCAATGCCAAGCGTCGGCTGGAGTTGTGTAAAGCTCGCCGCCATTGGAGCAGTGGAAACGCGTTCTCTGGAGTGATGAACCACACTTCACCATCTGGCAGTCCGACAGACAAATCTGGGTTTGGCAGATGCCAGGAGAACGCTACCTGCCCCAATGCATAGTGCCAACTGTAAAGTTTGGTGGAGGAATAATGGGCTAGGCCCCTTAGTTCCAGTGAAGGGAAATTTTAACGCCCCAGCATTCTAGACGATTATGTGCTAACAACTTTATGGCAACAGTTCGGGAAAGGCTCTTTCCTGTTTCAGCATGACAATACCCTCGTGCACAAAGCGAGGTCCATACAGAAATAGTTTGAAGATCGGTGTGGAAGAACTTGACTGGCTTGCGGAGCCCCTCCATCGAACACCTTTGGGATGAATTGGAACACCGACTGCGAGCCAGGCCTAATCGCCCAACATCAGTGCTCGACCTCACTAATACTCTTGTGGCTTAATGGAAGCAAGTCCCCACTGCAATGTTCCAACATCTAGTGGAAAGCCTTCCCAGAAGAGTGGAGGCTGTTATAGCAGCAAAGGGGGGAACAAATCCATATTAATGCCCATGATTTTGGAATGAGATGTTCGACGAGTAGGTGTCCACATACTTTTGGTAATGTAGTGTATATCTGCAAGACAAATGCATTTGGTTATCTTTGACCAATAAATGCAGAAATACAATGCATCAAATGAACATGCCGTCTGCCACATTGCTACAATCTCTATGATTTTATTAAGTTAAAAACAAATCTGTTTAATCTTAAAAGTCTCTACTTAGTGTTCACAGTATCATTAGCATTGCTCTAACACTGCCTTACTCTGCTTTCCATGCTGCATCCTTCAAGCTTGACCTTCGTGACTCCAATGACTGTAGTAACTTTATACATACAAGCTCCAAAGCATAATTTTAAACTCCAGATCAGGTCATGAATTATCTCAACAGAAGTGAAGGCTTTTTACTCCATAAAACAAAATCTTATATCTGCAGATAAAACATTATAAATAAATAGTTCCAGACAGCTGCTCAAGATAGAAATGTATTGTGGCAAACGAAACATCTTGCCCCCTGTCCAACAAAGGGGAACAATTGCTTTGAATTCTTAAAGGATTTGACATATACATCTTCCGCTACCCATACCTAAGTAAGGGGAAGATCCTGTCAAATCCTTTAAGACTGCTAAGCAATTACAATTATATACAAACAAATCTGCCTGAAAAACTGAGGGGTTGGTTGACAGCCAGGGGTTAAATATGGTAACCACTTTTATGGAAAGAGATGCACATTATTACATATATTAATATATGTACAAAGACAAATTAAAGAGGAGAAATGACTGCACTTTTCACTCCATCTAACCAATAAGCTCATCTGTGCACAGAAATAAAGAGATGTGGGCGGGGAAGGCCAGTCTCAGTGCAAATGCTCCAGCTTGCGTAGCCGCAGGGCCTGTGGGTTCGGGACGGTGGAGACCTCTTGGTTGGGAGAGCAGAAGAGCACCCTACCCCGATGATTGAACATGTAGAAAGATGGGTGGTTCCTCAATGTGTCAAACGTCCTGAAAAACGAGAAGAGGGCAGTGAGTAGTTTGAACTATATTCATGATTATGTTTTCAGTGCGATAGGTCAATAACAATATAGGGATACTGATGACAACACTATCCACGTCAGCTACAAGTGAAATCACTGCAACACTAAACAAAGAGCTGCAGTTAGTTTCAGAATGGGTGACAAGGAATAAGTTAGTCTTAAATATTTCAAAAACTAAAGGCATTGTATTTGGGACAATTTATTCACTAAACCCTAAACCTCAACTAAATCTTGTAATGAATAATGTGGAAATTGAGCAAGTTGAGGAGACTAAACTGCTTGGAGTAACCCTGGATTGTAAACTGTCATGGTCAAAACATATTGATGCAACAGTAGCTAAGATGGGGAAAGGTCTGTCCATAATAAAGCGCAACTCTGCCTTCTTAACAACGCTATCAACAAAGCAGGTCCTACAGGCCCTAGCTTTGTTGCACCTGGACTACTGTTCAGCCGTGTGGTCAGGTGCCACAAAGAGGGACCTCGGAAAATTACAATTGGCTCAGAACAGGGCAGCAAAGCTGGCCCTTAAATGAACACGGAGAGCTAACAATAATATGCATGTCAATCTCTCCTGGCTCAAAGGAGAGGAGAGATTGACTTCATCACTACTTGTATTTGTGAGAGGTATTGACATGTTGAACGCACCAAGCTTTCTGTTTAAACTACTAGCACACAGCTCAGACACCCATGCATACCCCATAAGACATGCCACCAAAGGTCTCTTCACAGTCCCCAAGTCCAGAACAGACTATGGGAGGCACACAGTACTATATAGAACTCTATTCCACATCAGGTAACTCATGCAAGCAGTAAATTCCGATTTAAAAAACATAAAAATACACCTTATGGAACAGCGGGGACTGTGAAGAGACACAGACATACACACACATGGATTTTGAGTTGTAGATATGTGGTAGTAGAGTAGTGGCCTGAGGGCACACACTTAATGTTTTGTGAAATCTTTTGTGAAATGTATTGTAATGTTTTTATTGTATAACTGTCTTTTTGCTGGACCCCAGGAAGAGTAGCTGCTGAGCTAATGGGGATCCATAATAAATACAATTACTGAAATGAAGGCTTACTTGTTTTTCAGCTCTGAGGATGCATCCATATCTTTAAACTCTCCAGAGATGTGGACTATACCATAAATGGTCAGAACAAATGCTAACAAAGTCTGTAAGACAATCTGCAAAACAAAATGAAAACAATAGATTTATTTAATTTTTATTTTGAAATATGTGAAGTATGTTTAGTCAAACGGCACAATTAATAGAATGGATCCACATCAAAGAATGGAACAACTTACTAGCTATTTAGTATTAAATAACTTACATCTATTGGTAGTGTTTCATTTTCTTTTTCTGTCAGACGCATGTAGGATCGATCTGGTGGGGGAAAAGAATAACATTTATCACACTGGAATCAATGTGGCTATAGCTGAGACCAAATCAAGTGGGTAGCTAGTCTCACTGCATCCATAGCAGATGTTGCAAGTGGCAAGCTAACTTGCATAACTGTTAGTACTTGGGCTTTTGGAGCATAGCTTCCAACTGGATCCTGGATTTCCTGACGGGCCGACACCAGGTGGTGAGGGTAGGAAACAACACCTCCGCCATACTGATCCTCAACACGGGGGCCCCCACAGATGTGTGCTTAGCCCCCTCCTGTACTCTCTATTCACCCATGACTTCGTGGCCATGCACGACTCCAACTAAATTATCAAGTTTGTTGACTACACAACAGTGGTAGGCCTCATTACTAACAACGATTCAGATTACAGGGAGGTGGTTAGAGACAGGAAAATAACCTCTCCCTCAACAAAACGAAGGAGCTTATCGTGGACTACAGGAGACAGAAGAGAGTTCACGCCCCCATCCCCATCAACGGGGCCGCAGTGGATAGGGTCAAAAGCTTTAAGTTCCTCGGAGTGCACATCACTGAGGACCTGAAATGGTCTCGCCACACCGACATCGTGGTGAAGAAGGCACAACAGCGCCTCTACAACCTCAGGCAGCTGAAGAAATTCAGCATGGCCCCTAACCAGTGTTGTAGTACTCGAGACCGGTCTCGGTCGCGAGACCACATAGAGTGTCTCGGTCTTGTCTCTGTGTCGGATACATTTTCACTAGTCATTTCTTGCCGAGACCAGCGGAGTGAAAACTCATAATTATCAGCTCCCATTCAGTCAGCCCATAAAACCCCGTCGCCAGGCCAAAGATAGTCACACTCCTTTCATGACACGACACGACACATGAAACCTGGGCTTCCTACTTTACTTGTAACATTACTGTCCTTTACTTTCGTCGAAAAATATCCTCAAACTTTGTCACGTTCCTCAGAATTTCCTTGATTGGCTGGTAGGGAAGAGTGGGGAACATGGATTGAAAGTTGCGTGCTCACTATTAATAAGGGGAGACTGGGGGAAGTCCCAGATCCCTCGCCGCCCTCCCGGTCCTGACTTGCGGTCTTGGATCGGTCTCACTTTAGGTTGCCTCGAACACAACACTGCCCCTAAGACCCTCACAAACTTCTACAGCTGCACCATTAGAGCATTCTGTCGGGCTGCATCACTGCCTGGTACGACAACTGCTCCACCCTCAATCGCACGGTTCTCCAGAGGGTGGTGCAGGCAGCCCAACGCATCCCTGGGGGCACGCTGCCTGCCCTCCAGGACATTTACAGCACATGGTGTCAAAGGAAGGCCAGGAAGATCATTATTTGTTGTCGGTGATCAGGCCTACCACGTCGGCGGATCTGTTGGGGTGGTTGGTAACAGTCTTGAAGTCCCCACATATGCTGAGCACTTGTTGGCTGCTTTTCCTTCACTCTGCCGTCCGACTCACCCCAAACCATCTCAATTGGGTTGAGGTAGGGGTATTGTGGAGGCCAGGTCATCTGATGCAGCACTCCATCACTCTCCTTCTTGGTCAAATAGCCCTTACACAGCCTGGAGGTGTGTTTTGGGTCATTGTCCTGTTGAAAAACAAATGATAGTCCCACTAAGCGCAAACCAGATGGGATGGTGTATCGCTGCAGAATGCTGTGGTAGCCATGTTGGTTAAGTGTGCCTTGAATTCTAAATAAAATCAATGACAGTGTCACCAGCAAAGCACCCACACACCTCCATGCTTCACGGTGGGAACCACACATGCAGAGATCACCCGTTCACCTACTCTGCGTCTCACAGAGACAAGGCAGTTGGAACCAAAAATCTCAAATTTGGACTCATCAGACTAAAAGGACAGATTTCCACCGGTCGAATGTCCATTGCTCGTTTTTCTTGGACCAAGCAAGTCTCTTCTTCTTATTGGTGTCCTTTAGTAGTGGTTTCTTTGCAGCAATTTGTCCGTTAAGGCCTGATTCACACAGTCTCCTCTGAACAGTTGATGTTGAGATGTCTGTTACTTGAACTCTGTGAATAATTTATTTGGGCTGCAATTTCTGAGGCTGGTAACTCTAAGGAACTTATCCTCTGCAGCAGAGGTAACTCTGGGTCTTCCTTTCCTGTGGCGGTCCTCATGAGAGCCAGTTTCATCATAGCGCTTGATGGTTTTTGCGACAGCACTCGAAGAAACTTTCAAAGTTCTTGACATTTTCCGTATTGACTGACCTTCATGTCTTAAAGTAATGATGGACTGTCGTTTCTCTTTGCTTATTTGAGCTGTTCTTTCCATAATATGGACTTGGTCTTTTACCAAATAGTGCTATCTTCTGTATACCAACCCTACCTTGTCAGAATACAACTGATTGGCTCAAACGCATTAAGGAAAGAAATTCCACAAACTAACTTTTAACAAGGCACACCTGTTAATTGAAATGCATTCCAGGTGACTACCTCATGAAGCTGGTTGAGAGAATGCCACGTATGTGCAAAGCTGTCATCAAGTCAAAGGATGGCTACTTTGAATTACCTCAAATATAAAATATATTTTGATTTGTTCAACACTTTTTTGGTTACTACATGATTCCATGTGTTATTTCATAGTTTTGAAATGTAGAAAATACAGAACATTTATTAAAACCCTTGAATGAGTAGGTGTGTCTAAACTTTTGACTGCTACTGTATATGTACTATAGTATATATAATTCTTAGCTGATCTTGTGTAAATTCTCCCTTAGTACTACATACGTAGATTGCATTTGATTACTGCCTCAGTGCTATTTGGGTTGTTAATCAGATTCGTCCCGCAGTTCTTGATTTTCTGTGTTTTTTCCCCTTACATTTTAATTGTTTGACATTTTACTGCATTGTTAGGAGCAGGTAACAATAATTTCGCTGCACCCGCGATAACACCTGCTAAACTTTGTACGCGACTAATAAACTATGATTTGATTCCTTGTTTTCACTTGAATAAGTGTTAATAAAAAGCCACATACAGCTAACAGACCGCGTTGGCAAGCAGACATTGTTAGCTAGCTAGCTAGCTACTGTAGTAGCTTTGGGACACATCGGGAGTCTGTGAACCAGTACATGTTGATGTCCCAAAGCTACCAGCTAGCTGCTTACAGTGCCAATAATATGACATGCTAACTAGTAGTTAGCCATCTGGTTTATTAATAATTATTCCTTACTTGCTAAGCTGTTTTGATTGACGTAGAATAAAAGTTAGCTAGCACGCACTAGTTTTGACAGGCCGCAGTTCACTGCATGGTTGATCTGACTGTGTATTTTGATCTAAACAGCTAAATAAAAGGCCAGATATGTTTATCTTATTTTAGTATATCACACTTACGTTGTGCCGCTGAAAAAGCCGCATGAGCCAAAGCAAATAGACCAATCCCTACGACACCTTTCCAAAAAGACGAAGCCATCTTCAAGAGAAGAGTGATAAATTCTTCTTCTACGTGTTTTATGGCGGACTACAAACCCCAAAAGCTGTATTGCTGCCACCAACTGGACAAAACAAGGTAAAAAGAAAATCCATACGTGATAGGGAAACTAACTTAATCCACCCAAATAAAAATAGTACATTGACAAAACAAAACAAAACTCCCACTTCTTCCTTATTTCAATTCTCCATATCTGGTACGGCTTGTGACAATATTCCATGTAACTCCTTTGCCGAGAAATCTTTCAGCTCCAGGAACCTCTCTGACGCTTCCACAATGATTTCTATCTTCCTGGACCTTCTCTCCACCTTGGCAGTGCCATTTATAACCATAGCTATAAAGGCCACAAAGTCCACCTTCTTAACCTTTAAAATGTCAGGATCCTGCTGGTGAAAGGCAACCCCTGCAGCCTGCAGTGAAGGCCTATCCACCACCATGGACTCTTCAAATGCACCATTCAAACCCTCAACCCTTTTAACAGCTGCTGCATATGATATGCTCTGGATAGCCCTGACTTTGGCCACCTCATTCTCTTTCACCCTTGTGGGGAATTCAAAAGACGTGGCTTCATGGTTCCCATCACAATTGCAACATGTCACATTTTCATCACTTTTATGACACATAATATGATATTTTCCACAACTTGGACATCTCGGCTTCTCCCTTCTGCAAACACTTGAAACATGACCAAAAGCTTTACAATGATTGGTCTTGGGATAAATGCTCTGACTCTGTAGTTCATATACCCTAACTGCACTTGAGTAGGGAGAAACTCCATATCAAAAAACAAAATAACAGATAGACTCTTCACTTTTTCTTCATTCACCACCCGATTCATCCAACGTGCATCAATCACTCCAGGAATATTTTGAATCTCTTCAACATCTATTCCCACGAGACTCCAGATATAACCCCTTTGAGGGGTGCCCTGTTCCTAAGAGACACACACGACACTTCAAACTTATCAAATCGGGTGAAACGCAACACAAAAAATCTAAACCAGCCCGCCTCTCGTAATCCTCACAGCCTTCACTCTACCCAGCACTCTCTCCACCAGTTTTCATATCTCAAATGGATTCCTCAAGATTGGTAATTCGATCAGCTGCTCATCATTTACAAACCGTACTCCTACAAGATACGAAGTGACATTCTCATCACTGTACTCTACTTTGCTCTGTTTTCCTTTCTTTTGGACAATATTCAAATTCTCCTTGAATCTACCGCCATTAGATTCAGAATCCACTTCATCATCCGCTTCCGCGATCTCTTTTCCGTCCGACATTCTACGCATGAAATACTCGTCCGCTCCGTCGAGTATTGCTATCTAATGCAGTTTGCATGGCCTTGAAAATGTTGGACGTGTTGTATTCTAAGTTATTCTTCGATGGGGTTTAAGGGCGATTGGCATCCAATGTTAATGTTGCGTTACCGCCACCAGCTGGACGGGGTATTGAATAAGAAACTAAAAAAACATTGCGGGAAAGGGGGAAAACGACATCATACAAAATTAAACACATCAACTAAGAAAACCCATCCCATTTCTTCAATCACAGTC